GAGACCGGCTGGGTGGATGCCGGATCTCTCTGGGGGTGGTGATGAGGGGTATTAGCTCGTGCCTGTTGTTCGGGGTTGTGGGGTGTGGCTGTGATGTATGTATGTATGTATGTATGTCTTAACTCATGTACCTAAAGAAGAGTGGGATGGTTCTGGACTAGGTAAGCTAGACTTAACTAAACTATCAACTATCCCAGGAGCTGAGATCAACAAGATCATATTAAGCTCGCATCTCACTGTGCAGTATGTCATTTACCATATCTTCGTTTTGTTTTTGGGAACAGAAAACCATCAAACATAACCCATAAATCCATCCATGTACTCCGTCCGTCAAACCATGTCCTGTAATTCAAACGGACCCATATCCATCATGACCCATGACCCATGAACAGCTGCCAAAGACAGAATCAATCAGAAAGTCGGCTCCCTTGGATCCTCATCTTCCGTCAAGATCCCCTGAGCCATGAGATCCTCCGGCTGCGGCCGGTTCTGAATCTTCTGGTCGAGATGATCAGCCAACATGTGTTTCTCCAGCTCGCGGGCGTGGGCCTGAAGCGCCGGGGCTGCGTTGATATGCGGGAGGATATTGCCTTTTGTATATTATAGCTGCGTTAGTAGTCGAATCTATAACAATGTGACAAAAGCTAGCTGCGAGAGAAGAAGCGTAGACGAGAAGGTGGGATAATGTCAAGATACGCACGCTCAACCAGTTCCTCGCGATCCGGTCTGTGCTCCAGATGTTTCTTCAGACTATCGGTTGTGCGCTGACGGTCTAGTTCCTGTCTCGCTGCTTGGATAGATCTGTAGGTGATTTGTTAGTGGTACGATGTAAGCAGTATAGGTGGTACAATAAATAAATAGAGTCATGGAAGCGTACGGAGCAACATTGGTGTCAAGGAGGATGTGTCTCTCCTTGAGGTCGTGGGGATCAGGACGGTTCAGGAGATGTTTCTCCAGGGAATTGCGTCGCTCCATGGGCGATGCGGCGAGGGAGGTTTCATCAACGGAGTCAACCATTGTTATTGCTTGCTCGTGGCTGCGATAATTCGTATAGATGTATGGAAGGACTAGCACTGGTATCGTATTGGCAAGGTTTGAGTTCTTGGGGAGGCGATTGGATGGGAGAGTCAAGCCCGGGAAGATACTTACGTATCGGGGGTTTAATTTATTGCTGGGCGACGTAGGTACAGGAACTGTGAAGATGGAGGGTGAAGGAGGGGCAGTCAAGTGACGTTGACATCAATGCGGAGGTGTTGATCCACGGGACCTTAACTGCGGCTATTAATTTGGGCTCATGACCTCATGGCATGGCTCATTAGAGTTTCCTTGTGCACGGTTAGGGTTATCATATCATATCTCATCTCATCTCTCCATGACCACGAGCTAAACACAAGTTTCATTTCTGTCATCTGTTTCTTTTTCTCGTTTTCTTAATAAACAATACCAGAAGCACTACTGAAGCATGCATCGTGCCCATCCCCCTCATACTTCCATAGAGCAATAGCAACAGGTTCAACAAAAATAAGCAAGACAACTCTCATATGTGGGGGTGGTAACTGCTGAGTAATATGTTGAATAGCTAGCTCGTTTACGCATGTCGGGTTGAACAGGTGCGTGGTCCAGGAGCACCCGACATGTGGAAGGACATAAAACAAAAAAGCCCGTTCCTCCATCGTAACGGAAAGCAAGTGTATGAGCAAGAAGACCCGTCTGACCCCAGAACCTGACCTAGAGCCTGATCATCGGTCTCGCACGAGAATGGTTGTATGGATCGAATCAGTGCCGTATCCGACTCGCACTCATCCTTCATATCCGTGCAATCCATATAGGACCCATTCGCCTCATCCATCAAGTCACAGTCTGAACTGACATCGACCAGTAGGCAGTCCGGGAACGGAAGATGATTCCTGCTTCGAATAACAACCACAGTGGTCTCTGTTGGAAATTGCAAACAAATGCCCCGTCGGCATCACAGTCAACGGGGCTCTGCCGTCCGCTCAAGGAACCCAGAGTTTCCCACGGCCTCGGCTGTTGCCACGAGTTGGTCCGCGAGGCGCCCCTCGACGACCGCTGCTGTAGTTCCGAGACGCTCCTGCCATGCCACGCGCAGCCCCGGATTGTGTACTAAGATCAATCGTGGGCTGCTGCTTCGTTGTGGTGGGCAAGGACCGACTGAAAGAGTTGGGGTCGATGGGCTGAGTAGGAATCTCCATCGTACTCTCCACAGGCGGCGCCACGGTCTTAGCGGCGGCGGGTTTCCGATTGCCTCCACCACGCGAACCTCCTCGCGAGGTTGGTTTCCCGCGACCCCGAGGAACAAAGACTAGTTCATCTTCGTCGCTTTCGTCGTCGTAGGAAAGCAGTGACTTCGGTTCGGTCGTGTGGGTTTGGGTTTTCTCCACATATTTGCAGCGATTCTTGTATTCCCGTTCTTCATACTGAATGGAGGTCCGCAGCTGGTGGATGTTCTTAACGCCAATGCCAAACTTCTGGGCCCAAATCTGTGTGGAGCGGTCGTTCGTAATAAGGATACAACTTTTAGCCGCATTGGACGCATCCGGGCCGCTGTGCAGGCGCCACAGCAACGCACTGAGGAGCGGTCGGAGCACCAAGGGAACCGTGGGGATGGTGGAGCCAGAAGCAGATCGCTTATGTCCGTTCGTCTGCTTTACTTTAAGGTTGTTCGTTCCGTTTCCATTCTCAACCACATGAGAGTTGGCACATTCGGGACTTGTACGGGAACTTCTTGACGAAGGTGGCGATGCGGGGGCACTGCGAGTCCCTGCCGAGTTAACCGACGCGGCGTCCGAGTCCTTCTTGAAGTTCAGCTTATTGAGAAGCATTTGCGACAGATCATCCGAGGCTCCGTTTCTCTTGTTGTCTTTTCCTTTAGATCCCTTCTTCTCCGACGGCGTCTCCCGGGCATCGGTTCCATTTGTCGCCTCCGGCTCTTCTTCGAATTCCGGCAGAAAGAACTTTTCCGCATCACTCCAGTTCTCGTACTGCTCCATCGGGCCCTGAAGAGCAACGCGATCGGCCGGAGTACTGTCCTTTCCGGAAGTAACGCGGTCAAGAAAGCGAACAGCCTCGCGGGCGTTGATAGCGACTTGAGACCCGGCTCGTTTCAATGCATGAAGGCGTTCAAGGGCTGAGTGAAGGGATAGTGAGAAAATGTAAGATGTACAGAATGCATGAAAAGAAAAAGGATAGACGTAGAGAGAAAGTATAAAGGGAGATACGTACTGTAAAGAGGAACGACAGGGTGATCGCCCCGTTGGTTGTCCATTTTTTGATTTCGCTGATGTTGGTCGTCAGCGCCGTCTCATCCACGGCACAGTGGAAGACCTTGCGTCCGGTCGACATCGCTTCAGCGGTCGACAAGAAGCAGATCGCGTAGGTAAATCGTAGGGATGATTAAGGCGGCGCAGCTGCCCTACACCGAATGGCTGAATTTAACGAGTGCGACTGAGCCGCCGCGGCGTTAGCGGATGGGTCCTCAGAAGGAGGTTTGGTCTGATGGCGGAGGGATATGAGAATGTGGGGGCAATGGCATTAAGATTAGGTCAATCAAGAGGCACCGAGGACAACCTCAGGCCACTAAGACGCCAGAACAAACAGACCACAAGGTACTTACCGTGGGATCCTGGTTCACAAAGAAGGAACATATGCAGCATTTTGGGGGTCTGACCGAGTCATTCGCGGAAATAATAGGGCCCAGGTAAAGGCTGATTGAAGGGTCATTGAACAGCAGCGGATCAACTGTGATGCCGTGGGAGTGACTCGCCCAACTGACTAAGCGGAACAGTCATCATCTACAAGATTCATCACGTTTCTATATCGATTCGACAGGGAAATTCCATGGCGACAATTGAAAGAAAAGCCCATGAGATGAGAGATTCTGTTCATTTCAATAACTATACTGCGGTAGCGAAGCTCGATAGGATGTCTACTCGGGTTACACTCTATAGGATAATTGACATGCTGTCACCGTAACACAAAAGTCCTCCATAGAAGCAAAGAACGAACGCTATGTCATACAAGGATCAAGGGCCATCTTGATGTGATTTCGCGGTCAAGGCAATAATAGAAGATGCCTAATACCCACCAGCCTAGTTCACTTTTTTGATCAGTCCGTCGGCGGGCTTGACGCGCTGTGCCCATTCACTAAACAAAATACATAGTAAGCGACTGTACTTGACGAGGATAAGGTACTTAGCAAATGGTAAGTAGTACTTACGTCCAGCTTCCATCGTACACCCTCCGAAGGTTGGGATCTCCGTACTCTGCTTCGCCCAAGGCGGTTTCAATAATCGTAGCCGTCACACCAGTGCCGCAAGAGCTGATGATCGATTTGGAGTCGTCAATTTCTTTCTCTTCGAAGATTTTGCGCAGATCAGACTTCGATCGAAAAGTCTTCGTCTCCGGATCCAGTAATTCTTGGAAAGGCAAGCTCTTGGAGCCAGGAATATGGCCTGAGGACAATCCCGGGCGTGGTTCGGGATCCGTTCCCGCCCAGCGGCCGTAAGATCGCGCATCTAAGATCTCGACTTCTTTGGCACCTTCTTTCCTATGCTCTTTGGCAATCTCCTTCAACTCCAAGTACGGAATCACCAGTTTCGAATCGTAATTAGGTACCGGATAGCTGGTCCGTTCCACTTGCTGGGGCTCCCCAGTCTCCGTCGGGTACCCTTCGCGCACCCACAATCGGTAGTTGTCCAGGAGATGAACCCGAGGGTGTCCAAATACTCGTAGGGTCCAGCCGACACGGGGGGCGCTGAAGGTTCCAAGCTCTTCGGTGTCGTAAACCACCACTTCGTCGTCGCGCCGGATGCCAAGCTCGCTCATCGCATCGGCAAATGTCTCCGCGGTAGGAAGCATGTGCGGGTACGGAGATTCTGCATCTTTGACCGCATCCAAGTCAAAGAATCGAGCCTGAGGGATGCGATGTTTCCGGAAAATGTCGATCCCTTTGCGACCTTCCGGATCATTGGGCATAAACCATGCAGCACACAGGGGCACGACACGCGGTGAAGTCGAGATTTTGGTGGGAGGGTTCTTCTTGAGAGCCTCACTGAGCTCCTTAGGAGAGACCAGGTATGAGGAGAAGGAAACCTGGCGGCATTGGGATTGGAGTCGCGCTTGCGAAGGGGCCGACATGGTTGGACGAAGCAGGCGAGTGGGGGAGGGAATCGAATGGCGAAGAGCTGCAAAAGCCATGTTCGCAGCGCGGATTTACTGGGGGGAAATATAGAGGGAATTGAAAGAGGATAATCAATCTTTACATACCGAATCGGCAATAACGACAGATGGTGTGATCTGATCGCGGGCGATAAGAATTTAAATAGGGATGTGTTAATTTATGCAAGTGCACAGTGAGGGGAAAGTCCGGAGTATTCACTTTCTTATTTTATTTTATTTTATTATTATTTTAGGTATTTATCAGGTATGCTAAGTCACTACTAAGTTAGTAGTCACGAATCATTTGGACCTAAAATGCGGAGTCGCCTGTAAACAAATCATTTTCTCCGCCATGTGAAAACCAAAGTGGAAAAAGGTAACAAACCAGAAAAGATCCGTTATCTTGCTTTGGCTCCACATACTACTTTCACCGACCACTTTTCTCTCCCTTCTTTCTCGGAACAAGTTGGTCCACGCCCTCAAAACCAAACCACATCGCGATCGACCATGAAAGTCACTATTAAAGAGTGGAACGGGGTTGCCACTTGGCGTTGGGATATGCCTGCGGATGATGTTTGTGGTATTTGTCGCGTCCAGTTCGATGGGACTTGCCCGACTTGCAAATTTCCCGGTGATGATTGTTCACTACGTAAGTCTCTTAGTTTTATCTGCTAATATATATAAAATGCGGGCTTTCTGATTAACCTCGATGTAATTACAGTGCTGGGCAAGTGTGGACATTCCTTTCATATGGTGCGATAGTGGACCTTGATATTATCATGGATATAGAAACTGATGATTCATCTCTCCAGCATTGTCTCATGACTTGGATCCAACAAGAATCTTCGAAGGGTCTTTGTCCGATGTGTCGTCAAAGTATGCCATCCCCAAATATGGATTCTTGGAGGAAAACTGCTACTAACTATAACCACAGAGTTCGAATGGAAACAAGAAGATGATGAATAAGCCCAAATACCATGCGTCCCGGTAGCCGCGATGGGAGAGGCGTTCGAGCTCGACAGATACGATACCCTTCTTTTAACATTAAATCGCAATTGTTTCTTTTTTTTCTGTACAATACAGACCGTTATCAACATCCCTAGCTTCGGTACAGTCACATGACCCGTTGTTTATCGATAAGGGGGCAGGTGATCAAGCTTCACCTGAGCTTAAAGTGGAAGCCGAGAGCTTACAAGTTCGCATTGCAATCCGCCCAACAAGGCCTTAATGTCCCTCCCCGTCGCCTTCTAATCATGTAGCGCGGTCTATCAGAAATGTCTCTTCCAAAACATACCACATCATCCTCCTTATCGTCTTCGCCCTCCAAACAATCCATCCGGCGGACCACGGAGTCGAACGTCCCTTCACGCCCGGAAAGCACCATTGATCGACCCACCACGGCTCAACAGACTCACGCCTTCTCCCAAGAACAACAAGCTTATGAGCCAATAACAAACGTAACATCGCCACACTCGGAAAATGACGGCCCGCATGAGATATCTGCTTCACATCCGCCCCTTCAACCGTTCTTCACCCTGATTGAAGACGCCAGTACCTCCGAATACTACCACCCAACTGTTCACTATATATTCTCCGATGATGACACAGATATCATGACCGAGGCAGCCTTGCGCTCCTTGGAACCCGAACAAAATACGCATCCTCACGGCGACAAGGGAAACTCCAGGACTACACGTGACCAACACCCGCAGGGTGAAGGAGGAGTGGATGATGAGCTGTCGAATGAGAGAAAGGAATCATTACTTCCGCCTCCGATACCTGGTGTTCGGGATAACTACATCATTCTCGATATGGACGTGCTTGGTCCAGATGATATGCAACACATGAATAGCACCCCCGGGCACGACGTAAGTGTCGGCTCTCCTGGGACCCAATCCTCCGTCCCCCAACAACAGCAGGATTCCCAGAACAACAATCAACATGGTCAAAAATTTGCGGTCACTTCAGCCTACAGCTTGACACCAACATGGCAAGTTCTAAACACCCAGCTAGTGCCCGCCCCGACCTTTGAGAACAACCCTTCCGGCGAGCACTCACCGAACGGTGCCCTGATGTTGAAAATTCAAGGGACAGTCGGCTTACCTATGACTCTACCTGGTAAGGATAAAGAGAAAGACAATAGCACCCAGCGATTGGAGGATATGATGGAGCAATTTTCAAAACGTTTGGGCGAGCTCCGACAAGTCATTGAAGCTGGAGAACAAGCGCACTTGCCGGGAAATGCGGATGAGGAACACATACCAACCGAGCTGCCAAACACGGAGGATACTGCTGTGACAAGCCCCGAGGGTCAGAATCAAGCCTTAACGCAGAACGGGGATGATATGGTCGGCAAAAGCCCATAACCTGAGTCGATATACTCATTGGCGCAAACTGAACCTTAGCCCTTGGCGAGCCGTGCTTCTCATCTAAAGTGTGCAGCCTAGCCTGCTACACGCCAGGATTTGATCAGTAGGCGAATTGAAAGCAAATTACTTCCAGGTCATCAAGATGGTATTTGTAACAAGCTATGTCGTCCAGCCTCCTAGCGTCATTATAATCCCTGCCCTTGTGTCTATAGTAGCACAACGAACAAAGTAGCACCAAAGTAGCTTAATACCCAAAGCCATAATTCAACTATGAAACGCAAACATGAAAATGGTGAGCGGTCGACCCCGTAACAACGCCCGCAGTATTAACAATCTCCGGATGGTGAAACGAAGCCAGTTCCCGTCGCATATCCGGAGTACCTATATCCAGCTGGTCCAGGATCTCGACCACAGCCGAATAAAGGATTTCTCTGTTTCCATCCTCGATCTTAACTGCAAGTCCCACTGCACCGTCTGCTCCAAGTCTTCTGGTATACTCCGAGGCTTGTATGCCGATCCCATAACACCCATCGGCCCCAACCTTTCCAATGAGTGTTCCCCGAAACACCCGCATAAGCACCGTACAGAACCTCCCCTCTCCACCAACAAGCTCAGGGTACCGCGTCATGGCGTTGAAGATTCGCGCCATATCTCTTTCTTTCCCAGAAGCGCTCCCAGCATCCTCAACGGCACTCGCTGCCTCCGCAAATACCGCATAGAACTTCGCCATATTCTGTAACGGAAACGCTGGCGCCGGCAAGTTACACCCATCAATACCCCATAACACACCGTCAGGTGCAGTCTCAAGCCCCGCCAACTCTTCCACTACCTCTCTGACCCTCCGCTGCAGCGGGTTACAGGGCAGATGATAATCTCGAATCTCCGCCCCCAACGCCCTCGCGCCGCCGAGCATACCCGCATGCTTCCCGGAACAGTTATTCGTGATAGCCGTCGGCGTATAATCCCTTCTAATCCACTCCCGATTCACCGTCTCGGATAATGCGGCATGGCCGCCGCAGCGGAGATCCTTTTCCTCCGCGGAAACCTTTCGGAGCATGTCCCGAGCCCGGGAAAGATGTCTCTCCTCGCTATTGTGCGAAGCGCACATGAGAGCAAGGTCGGCCTCATCGAAGTTGAACTTTTCCAGCGCCCCCGTGGAGACGACGGCGAGGGCTTGGGCTGGTTTGGCGGCAGAGCGCAGTAGCGTTATCCGGGACGGATCGCCGACGCTGTAGAGGAGTTTCCCATCGGCAGAGACTATTGCGGCGTGGACTTGATGGCGGTTTTCGGTTATGCCGCTTCGGTCGGTTGTTATGTAGTCTTTTAACTTGCCCATTGTGGTCTGTTTTTGGCTATATTGAGTGCGGGACAACTCAGAGAGAGAAACGATAAAATGATTGGGAAGACGAAAGATTGTGCGTTATTTGTCTGCCAGAGAGATAAACAAGGCGCCTTAGATCTAGAAGACTAGAACATGATCTACCAACGGGAATAGTACTACCAAATATGGTAAGACCTGAGACCCCACCATTAGCTTGTTTTCATTACATGAGATTCGCTATGGGTCCCTCTGGCCCAACTCACGGTGTGTTGGCAGTGATGTGTAAGCTTGCGCTGGGCTAACCAGTGTAGTTACTTGGTTCGACTAAGCACTAGCTAGTCTCTCAACAAAGAGAAAACACTATCTAGTTATGTGACAGTACTGTACCGGTTCTTAAAGAGGCATAAGCACTAGATGAGACTACAAGGCTGCTATTGTGAACAGTTTATCTGGAGCATCCGCCCATTTTTTCAATTCAATTCCGATTTTGAAGCAGTTTCCCACTCTCTCAATCCGCCAACTATGGGTATATAGACGAACGACAATCTAGAGGCAGACTATGCTGGGAAGAACATGGCCGACGATAGCCGGGCGCAGATCCCCGCTCTCGAAACTCTCCTTGGATCGCAGGTACGTCCATTTCTTTGATGCCCTCCGTCATTCAGGATATATCAAACCAACCTCGCTCGAGACCAAACTGGGCAATCGTGTGGTCAACTGGTATCAACGCTAAGGTTCATAGCCACGTTCAAGGCCGGGATCGATGCCTGGTCCAAATTGTGTGAACTTGACTGGGCGTGGGAGACGCTATCGCCGTACTATCAGAAACGATACACTCTACGGTTCCCCGACAAAGCCACTAGGGAGCATATCGGTGTGAGCTGGATGGACCAGAATGTCCACGGGAACCCAGGCCCGATTCATGTCGCCTTTCCTGCTGTACTCCAAGATCGATCGTCTAAGGTTTGGGTCAGTACCTTAAAGCGATTGGATATGGTCTTACTGGTGATCAATTCACTGGCACCTCTCTCGGCGGATACTCTAAACTGGCGGCAGTCGACTAAGACAAGATACAGGCGACTCTCTCCTGCGCCAAGGGCAGGAAGCAGTGCAAAATGCCATGCAGTTGAATGCAATTTCGACGGTTATAGCAAAACCTGAAAAGCCAGGATATACAATGTGCCGCAAAATACGGCTTCCAATCTAGATAGTTGGAAGAAACGGGAAACAGAACAGAGGTCCTGTAGTTCCGAAACAAGTTCCTTCTCAATAAGCACCACATATAAGCTTTACAATGCGTTATCCTTACAAGAATGTACAAGCTCAATCAAAAGCATTGGAATATTGATTAACATGAATATCAGGAACTGTCTTTCCGATATTAACCCAAAACAAGCCAGATAGGTATCATGTGAGTCCCGCCGAGAAAACGCCAAATTGCAAAAGAAGACCTTAAGACTGCCCCAGAGAACAACCCAAAACTTGTGTGAAAACAAGGGCAATGGCCAGTTAAAATAAAAGATTCCCGTACGCCGAGTAAGCTGGTGCAGAGCACCCTTCCCTACACACCTAGTTATCAAGGTGCTTTACCATAACGCCGATGTATCCCAAACGACCAAAGGGTATAAAAGTGGAGAACAGCAACTATAGAAGAAATCGTTTGGCTGAATATCTCAAGGAGCAGGTCGAGCTCTAGTTCGTCGAGCACTTGAAAGCCCAGGTGGAGGGACGTTCTCCCGGCCTTCCATCATTCCAGCCATCTTCTTGGTCAACATGTTTTTCGGCAGTTTGCTGTCAGTAGTTGTCGGATTGGAGCAGCGCCTCTTGGCTGGAGGCTCATCTGAGTCTTCACTTTCTGGGACAATGTCGACATCCGAAGATTTGCCGGCTACGGAAATATTCGATTGCCGCACCGCGGCCCTGTCGCCGGGGCTAGACGCGAGCTGTTTTGCGGCGACGTTTGCATCGACTTCCCTAAGACCTGTGTTGGAAGTGATCCTGGCTGTAGGTGTCTGATTCCCTACCTCATCTTCGGTATCGTTGTAAACAAAGCCCTTAGTAGGGGAGGTTCCTGGAAGGTGGTCTTCGCCATTGAACGGGAGTAGTGTGAGATCCCTTGATGTCCGAATTCCGGATATCAGAGCATCATGCGCCTCAGTCCGAGGAAGATCAGTGGGATACTCGTAATGCCGTTTCTGTGGGGTGGCGCCAGTGACTATATACTCTTGTAGGGGACGACTGTGAACATTGTTGCGCAGCTCTGTGAGAGGCTTGCGGACCTCTTCTGACAAGGGAGAGGTCGCCTCGTGCAGACTCTGCTGCTGCTGAGCGGCGTCCTCTTGCAGTTGGCTCATCCGAGTACCAACACCTTCCATTTGTTCATGAACGAAGGAATAGGATTCACGGACGCTAGACCCCATGTTGTCCAAGCTGGAGATATGGGCATCACGGTATTGGCCATTCTGGGACCGTGCTTTAGCGACGAAATCGTCCAAAGCTTCCATCTGTTTGTCCATATTATTCATCTGAGCATCGACAATACGAACTGTTTCCTCGTGCACGGACTCGGTCGTCTTTTGGATAGAGGCGTTGCGTTGGTCAAATATTTCCCAATCGTTCTGCATCTTAGTCCGAAGTTCATCCCTAGAAGCCGCAACATCCTTGGCAAATTGCTCTGACTTGAAAACCCATTCATCTGTCTGACGATCATGTTGGGTCGTTGCTTGCTCCAGTGCATCGCCCGAAGACGAGATATCTGCTCGTACACCTTCCAATCTTCCTTTTAAGCGACTAACTTGTCTCTGCCGGGATTCCTCCATCAGAGCCTTGAACTGTGAAAGCAAAAGATCTCGCTCCGATTCAGCGGTGGCGTGCTCTTCTTCAACAGCATGTGCCAGATTAGAAGAAGCTCGACGGTTCGCTTCGACGGTCTGGATGTTAGCTTCTTGGACTTCCAGTCGCAACCTATTAATTTCCGTTTTCTGTTCATTAAGATGGCGCACCATCTCCTCGAACAAGGACTTGAAGTCCTTACCAAGAGTGCTGTAGGAGGAATGAAGCTGCTCATGAAGCTCTGTGAATTCGCCAATAACTTCCTTGGATATCCGGGCAGCGGCAGCAGACAGACCGTTCAACCCCTCTCCAACTTTGCGCTTGACCTCTTCACGCAAGTCTTTGATCTCCTCAAGGACCTCATTCATCTGATCGTGAGCGCCGCACGTTTGTGTCTTCGCGTCGCGCTCAGCCTTATCAAATATAGCACTAAAGCTCGACAGCGCTGACTGATTCGATTGGACGTGACTCAGCTCGCTAGAGACATGGTCGTTGATCTTTGCAGCCATAGATTCCAGGAGCTGCGAATGTTGCAGTTGGAAAGCCTCCATTTTTCTATCGACTTCCTCGGTGACAGCTGACACTTCTTTGGCTGACGTTTGCCATGTTTTCATGTTAGATGAGTCTAAATCCGCCTTTCGGTCAAGTTTTGCATGCAACCCATCCACATCTCCAACGGTTCTATCTAATGTCGACAAAAGCCCCGTACCAATGTCGTAAAGCTGGTTTTCGGTGTCTTGATGCGCCTTCCTTAACATTTCCTCTTCTTCTAGCAGTGACCTGGTATTCTTGAGAACAATCTCGGTTTTTTCAAGGACATCATTTGTATCACACAGAGCCAACCGTGTGTCCTCGTTATCCTTCTTCAGGTTATTGAAATTGCTCGTAAGCGTGAACAGCTCCTGGACCTTGTTTCGCAGGTTGGACTCCATTGATTCAATCTTTGCTCGTTGCTCTTCATTAACGATTCTCCGGGATTCATTCTCCATGGTCATTTGCTCGTACGCGTCGACAGTCATATATACGCCGTTTCGGTGTCTTGTGGCAATAAGTTCTCCTTTAAGTTTCTCGATCTCAAAAGCGAACTCTTGAAGAAGTTTATGTTTCGAAGTGAAGTTAATCTGAGGCTTGTTGCGAATGTTCTTGGCTCTAAAGGCATAGTCTAGCGTTGAGATGGTTTCTTCCATGTTGCTCCGAGACGGCGAAACCGTCGCGATAATACATGTTTTCGTGCGCCCACCGAGGGAGTCTTGCAAAAGACGTGTAAGTTTTGATTCTCTGCTACAAGTTAGTAGATGTTGAACATATGTACTCTATATTCATACCTGTATGGGATATGGGGGCTCTTATCGACCAAAGCGTTGATTACTCGGCCCAAAGTCAACAGACTTTTATTGATCAGGCCCGCTTCTGTGGCACGCTTGTTCTCAGCTCCACTGCGCTGTATATTTTCGCTACCAGCCAGGTCAACCAAATTCAGCTTTCCAGAGCTAACATAATCTTCGCCTGCATCGGTTGTCCGCTTCGTATGTACTGTGATAGTGAAGATTGTATGACTGCGAGAGCTCAGGTCGTTGCACTTGGTCGCAGCAACTTGCCGCTTATGGCTACCATGTTGAAGCAGCTTGATGCCGGAAGTGGCGGAGTCAATATACGTTTCTTCAATGCCTTGGACAAGCGTGCTTTGTCCTTTCTTTGACTCGTTCTCGAAAATCTTCAGCTTCTGGGTCTCTTCTGCTGATAGAAGATCTCGAAGTTCTTCGTTGTATAGCTCAATGAAAGAGCATTTCACGGTGCTTTCCGTCTCCTCGAGCTTGTGGAACAGCGAATACAGAACACGTGGAATAATGCCAGCATTGTCGGAAAGGATACCCAGAGTATCGGTCATATCGCCTGACATTGTGTATGTTTTGCCGGTTCCTGTTTGTCCGTACGCAAATATAGTGCAGTTGTATCCAGCGAGCATCTCATTGACAATCGGCAGGACAACATCCTCGTATACTGCGAGCTGGTCGGCGGCGGCGGAAAAGACCTTGTCGAATGTATATGTCTTATTTGAAACGGCATTTGGCCCCATGGATAGTTCCACAGTGTTCCCTCTAACACCTTCAGTTTTGACGACGACACCGCTATTCTCTTTAATTTCCCGATCATTGCGCCCGCGGCAGCGCACCACAACGTGAATGCTGGTGTCTTCGTTTATCCCACGTTCGAGGTCTCTTTCCTTCCTCTTCGCTGTTACGCTAGCAGGTTCAGTGGGTGATTTAATTGCGCGCGATCCACCCGAGGCAGGCATTTTGGACGAAATTGCTGGAGAGCCGGCCCTCTGGGTTGCTGAAGATCCCAATCGCCTGGTTGGTTGGCGTGTGTTTGTTGTCCTCCTTGTAGGGAGACCAGAGGCAGGCCTTTGGGGGCCAGCCATGATGAACAAGTCTCACTGGCAAACTCGCTGCCACAATAACTTAAAAAGGATGAATATACAATTGAATGTATGTGACTGAATATGATGTCCCGCCACTTTGATATGTCCAGGAGAAGTCAGTGACTTCCCGGGAAGGCCCAGAAAGGAAAATGTAAACAAACTAACAACATTCATGCACGTGCCCGCAAGTGGTCTGTGCTCAGGAGTCATGCCGCCATTTCACATGATCTATGCGTTCATCGTCATCCTCCATATTGATATCTCTTCTCTACCACTTAAGCATTTGTTAAGCCATACTTAGTGTATATTCACTTCTAGTGTTGCTATACTTCTTTGGTTGCAGAAATCTATATCCCAAGATACCCACGATCAGCGACGATCAGCCAGTAGTCTATATCCGCCACCTCATGATGAGAACGGATTCCAAGCCACTATGAGTTCCTCGGCCAAATCGTCGACGCAAGCCCAGATCCTTCCGGGGAAAGGGTTGGGATCTATAAGCATGTAGCCATACTCTCTAGCGGCTCTTGAAAGTGACTAACCTTTGTCTACCAGCACTTGGCGCTTCGCTCCATAATGTACTCAGTCGTGTCAAGGCCCATCCCCAGACCTACCCCGCAATAGACATCGCCTACTCCTCTACAGACCCCATTCGAGAGCCGGTAACCCTACAACTACCCTCGAACGGTCTCCGACTGCGCTTCGACGGTCCCGACCAAAGATTACGTCTGATCGAAGTACTCGACTTCACCAAGATCCCCCTAGTGTATAAAAACCAGGAAGTTTTGAAAGGAGGTAAACCGCAGGAACGGGCTGTCTCGCACCAGGGCCCTAGTTTCGGACATATCTACCATCGCCTATTTGGCCTTTCCTATCCGGGCGAATACAGACCTCCGACTAATCAGTCACCATATGGCACATATGTGTTGTCATACCCCGGGGTGGCCTTCTCGTTTCCCCTCCAACACTCGGCTTGGTCAGACCAGTGTGATTTTGTAGCGTTGCTTTCTTCCTCGGCAGCCTTGCCGGCCACTTCTATGGCGATCTTTCAGGGTGACTCCTGGCCCGAAGCTCAGGGGAGATTGTTCACTCAAGAGCAAAAGTATCCTCGAAACCCAGCCCTGGCGGGCAAGAACAGAGAATCTGTGCCAGATGAGATTGAAGAGTTCAATATCCTAGGTGCAGGTAAAATTGAGATCGCTCGGAGATCGTCCCCTACCAGCTACATCACGCTGTCGGAAACCACCCCACAGGATCTTGTGGCAGAGTTTGGCCCGCCCGATGCCATTTATCGTAAACATGATAGGAGGATAACAATCCACCGCGCTGCTGGCGGGGGTGGTGAAGACCATATTCACATGAGTCCGCCTCCAGGTAGAGGAATTGACGTGACTGATACCGATCAGTCGTCGAATAACAGTGGTACCGAAGATTCAGACGAAGAACTGTATCAACCCCATAATTTGGACCCGTCATCGCTACCAACAGAATGTTTCCTGAATTATTTCCATCATGGGTTCGATGCGTTCGTATCTTACCCTACTACCCCTGGGCCTGCGTTTCCAGGATCCGAGCTTCAGGACCCATCGCCTCCGTCTCCTTCCACTCAGCTGGTAGTGACTAAGATTATTCTGCATGGAAATGTGCCAGGATCATATCCGTTCAATCGCCATCGGCGCAGTCGTTGGAAGATAAAGCTGGACTCATCTGGGAATGCAGTCACTTCAGAAACCCGCTACGATGAGATCTCTGAGCGGCTTAGGGAGGTCTGGAAGGGCTCTTACGCGAACCCTGCTGAAGAGCGAGCCTTACAGAGGCCCATGGTACTGAATCGAGGATGGGGTGATAGTCCTGAGAGTAGCGTAGAATTCCTTGGTGGGTGGGAAGAGAGTACAGGTAAAGGTCAGAGGCCTGGACAGGAGAGTCACGATGGAGGTTTAGGGAACACCGAGCTCTTTGGCTTTCCTGGTCTGCTGTTTGAGGTTATGAAGAATAGTGCAGTTAGTTGCTTGACCGTATATTAGTTGCCACATCGGTCAGCACACGGAGTTTGGGAAACTGTATTTATATTAGCTAGTTCGGGGATATTGAGTCTATGCATTTCAAAATCATCAAAGACGCTTCATGAGAAAGATTTCTCTGATCCAGTGTCTTTGTTATTCGTTTTTCTTGCGATATCCAGGGATATTATTGGACAAGTGTTGTAAGATTGGTAACATAAATTACATACTTTACCCCGGGCCGCGGTGAGTTCCGTCTCTAAATCTCCACCGTTTCCTCTCGCACACATAGCTGACCAACTCAGAGGCTGACATGCTTCAGCGGTAGTATGCCGGAATTGTCGCGGTCGCTTACTCGATCGTGGTCGTCGACGCTCAAACTCCCTAAGTCGACGTTCCCTGCACGCGTGACCCCGGCCGATCAAGCAAAATACCTACGACGATGCACTGACGAGCTCTACGCCTGGCAACGCCGTGAAAGACCGGCCGATAAGCCTTTTGTCTTACACGATGGCCCGCCATATGCTAACGGCGAGCTTCATGTCGGGCATGCGCTGAATAAAATCTTGAAGGATCTCATATGCCGAGTACAGTTGGGACTGGGAAAACGAGTGCGATATGTCCCAGGGTGGGATTGCCATGGGTTACCGATTGAGCTGAAGGCACTTGAGGCCCAGAAGGGTCTGAAAGATGCGGGAGGGTCTGTCAGTGCGGCGGTCATACGAAAGGAAGCACGGGCACTGGCAAGACGGACAGTCAAGGAACAGATGAAGGGATTTCGCAGCTTCGCGGTCATGGGCGATTGGGAAAACCATTGGAAGACTATGGATAAGGAATTTGAGAAGAGACAACTAGGCGTATTTCGCGAAATGGTCGATAAGGGCTTGATCTACCGAAGGTTTAAGCCCGTCTATTGGTCACCCTCCACCGGCACAGCGCTCGCAGAAGCGGAATTGGAATACAAAGACGATCATGTTTCTACTGCTGCTTTGGTCAAATTTCCCCTACTTTCGATTCCCTCGCACTTGGCGCAGAACCCGTTGCTACAGGTTAAGGATCTTACTGCTGTTATTTGGACTACCACTCCCTGGACGCTCCCCGCCAATGCCGTAATTGCTGTTCATCCAGATCTGGAATACACGATTGTTCAGTCAGATACCCATGGTCACCTTCTTGTCGCGCAATCCCGGTTACAGTATCTTGAAAACATCCTCAAGGAAGACCTGTCTGTGATCATTCCGTCGGTCCTTGGCTCAGAGCTGGCAGATCGGACAACGTATCGGCCTCTGTTCAAGGGGGCTGATGCAGAGCCACAGCCCATAATTTCTGCTGAATTCGTCACCGCCGACTCTGGAACAGGTCTTGTTCATTGTGCACCAGGCCACGGAATGGAAGACTACGAAGCTTGCCTCTCCCGCGGAATTACTGCATTTGCCCCGGTTGATGATCATGGCCGATTCACCGACAAGGCTATGCCCAGTGACCCTACAAGATTGAGCGGTAAGAGCGTTTTGGATGAAGGTAACGCTGCTGTTCTCGAGTATATTGAAACGCAAGGACATCTTCTTTTGAAGCATCGGTATGAACATAAGTATCCCTATGACTGGCGGTCTAAGCGTCCCATCATTATCAGGGCTACTGAACAATGGTTTGCCGACGTGGCCGACATTCGTGAGAGTGCAGTCAAGGCTTTGGAGGATATCCGTTTTGTTCCAGCTTCCGGAAGACAGCGGCTAGAGAACTTCGTGAAAAATCGAAGCGAATGGTGCATCTCACGTCAGCGTGCTTGGGGTGTGCCTATCCCTGCTCTCTATCATCGGGTCACGGGCGAAGCTGTGCTTACGAAGGATTCTGTTTCGCATATTATGTCTGTCATAGATGAGCGTGGAGTTGACGCTTGGTGGACGGATGATGCAAATGATCCTGCCTGGATTCCAACATCCCTCCAAGAGACATCTGGGCCCGGATACAGACGTGGAACAGATACTATGGACGTATGGTTCGACAGCGGTACTAGCTGGGCTGAGATTGATGAACCGTATCGTGATGGGTACCCAGCCGATGTCTACTCAGAAGGCACTGACCAACATCGCGGCTGGTTTCAGTCAGGCCTTCTCACATTTACAGCTCACCAACTCGCCGCAGGACAGACGGCTACTCGCGCACCGTTCCGAAACCTTATCACTCATGGGTTCACACTGGATGAGGAAGGGCGCAAAATGAGCAAGTCTATTGGTAATGTTTTGCTTCCTCAGACTATCATGGACGGAACCCTTTTGCCTCCTCTCAAGCCAAGGAAGGGGAAGAAAAAACAATCGGAGAATCAAGGACCCGTCTATGATGCTCTCGGTCCTGATGCGCTTCGTATGTGGGTCGCGAGCAGTGATTATACCCGCGACGTGGTAATTGGCAAGCAGGTTCTTCAAACCGTCAATACAAGCTTGCACAAGTACAGAGTGACCTTCAAGCTCCTGCTTGGCGCTCTTTCGGACTTCCGCTTAGACAATCAGGTTCCATATGATCAATTACAGCAAGCCGATCGGATCGCGCTCAAGCATTTGTCCGAGATGATCCTTTCTTGTCAGAAGGCCTGTGAAAACTTCGAATTCTTTAAGGCTGTGAATGCTCTGAACCGCTGGGCTAATCTCGAATTCTCTGCGTTCTACATGGAAGCCATTAAGGATCGACTGTATACCTATGGAGAGAACAGCGCCAGTAGACGCGCTGCGCAGACGACCCTGTTCCATATTTATCGCCATCTTCAAGAAGCACTGGCTCCCATTACTCCCATGCTCGTGGAAGAGACCTGGGAGCACACCCCTGAGGCCATCAAGTCGCAGTGCGAGCATCCTTTGAAGCGTATTGTTTCTGTGCCTGCCTTGGAGTGGCAAAACAACTCCCTTGAGACAGACTACCAGGACCTCGTTGCTGTCCACTCAGTTATTAAGAATGCTCAAGAAACGGCCCGGGGCAGGAAGGAAATGGGTTCATCTCTCCAGTCCTTTGTCCACATTGTTCTTCCTCAGAGCGTCAGCAGCTCTGTATTCCAGCGGTCTTTAACAGAGCTTCCCGATATCTTTGTTGTCTCATCCGTCACACTCGGAACCTCCGGCGAGCCTCTTCCGGCTACCATCGCAGAAGCAGAATGGCAATACAGCGAGGAGTATGAACTTCCCAGTGGAGAAAAGGGCACCGTATATGTCTATACCCCACAAGCTGGCAAATGCCCGCGGTGCTGGCGCTATGTTGTCCCAGAATCGCCGGCTGAGGAGTCTGTTTGTGATCGCTGTGAGGACGTTGTCAGTGAGCTTGACGCATCTGCAGCGGCGAAGGCGGCCGATTCGTTGTAGGCCTAAGTGGCCAGGTCGTGTTTCTAATTTTGTATAATAATAGTGTAGTATATCCCAAAAGGAGAGAATCTCATCTATATTATAATTCCTCGGGTAGTTGATGTCGTATCTTTGTGTAGCCATGGATCGTAATGATACATATATATTTATCGAGATACTGCAAAGCACGTGCAGCGAAGCACATGATCGACATAGCTGTCACTTTCCCCAGTCTATATTTAACAAACAAATCCCAAACCCACATTTGACATCTCCGTGGGTTTGGTTACCGGGGATAAAGCTTGTAGTGTCTTCTTTGACATTTTGACGTCTGTACGGAGTACTCCGAAGCAAATTGATCGATCGGATACTGGAGATCCTCCGCTGAGTAAGCCCCGCAATGACTGACTGACTAACACTCACTAACGAAGGAGCAACCAATAATCTGTCACGATCTCGCCGGGTCTGGAACTTGAACCCTTCCGAAGTCATTGTGTGCCCCAATGGCGACCGTTAGGGTGCTGCAAGACGCACACAGCCTCGCGGTGATATATGTGTACTTGCAGGGGTTTACGGAGGCCTACAGATTCTTCTCCGGATGGATCTAATCAAGTATGCAGAAGTAAACTTTGACGTTGCTAGGGGGTTCCACATCACTACTGTACTGCATATGATTGTTGTCCACGCCAAGTCTCCAGCCTTACGGTCTGGAACTTGGAACTTGGAACAACCGAGGCATTGGCGGACAAGGGTTACTCTCCGAATTTGACAGGCACCCAGGGTACTCCGTACCACTGTAAAAATTGCACGACAGGCATCAATGATGAATGGACGCTCAAATAAAAAAAGGCTTACTGATCGACAAACACGACCCCGTGGCGGCGTCTGTGGTAGATGGCCGTTCGTCGTTCCCTACGTGGATGGCGCTAGTGGTTCACTATTTATACAGATTTGCGTCTATTTTCAGAGCACGTCACCACTTGGAAAGATAGGAGTAAAAAAGAAGAAAAGGGGATATGAGAAGGCTGACGCAACCTAATCTAGAGGCCGTTACGGAGCATACGAAGGCTCCGATCCATCCCTTCATGCTATGAACGTGGCCGTGAACTCTCGGGACTGCACCGGAGGTGCACTCTAGCCGCTCTCCGAGTGGGTCCCTTGGAGATCCACGGTCATGATTTCATCGGCCAAGACACCAACAAGATTTCTTTTCAGCCCGGACACTCGGGATGTGCCACTTCCGAGTCCAAATCCGGAGCTCTCGACTTATCCACCGATAGATTTTGCATAGTCTATGATTCATTCAGATGGATCGGGTCCCTTAGTGCGAATCTTGGTTCAATTTGTGACTTATCCCTGCTTACTAACGGGTTTCCGTTAAGACTATTGGCGAGGATCATTATAGCGCCAAGGTTGTGTCGGATTGGGAGGGTACCATGGAGCTGCCACAGGGGAAGAAGCCACGTTCAGGCACCGAGCATTCGGATCTCGATCTCCCTTCTCTGGATTTCCTACTCGGGTATGGAGGTTTTCGCTCCCGAGCGTTACCCTATTGTGGGGCGCCTCAAAATCTATGAAACCGTCCATAATGAATATAAAGAGTAGGGCAAGGTCGTTGCCATTCTAGGGTCTGTTTGTTTTTATCCCTCGAGTCAACGGAGACACTACAGAATTAATTATATTAACATCAATATTACAACCAATCGGAATAATAGCGATTCAGTGCAACTGAAAAGCGCGGACAATATTTTAAGGTTTACTTCGAGCGAGACCTTCAAAAGTCTTCTGCGTGCCCGGCAAGGATTCCCGCGCCATGGCTTCGCATAAGAAGAGCGAGGACCCCTTGGTCGACAATGACCGACAGGAACGGGAGTGTTACAGCAGTGATTCGACAATGGCATCAGATCAAGCCTCGGAATCTCGGTCTCCCATGGGGTTAATCGACGAGGAGGGAATCGAAACCCTTAATCGCATCGCCACCCAAAGCTCACGTCGTCGGTCGAGCGTCTATCCCCCCAATCTCCCCACGAGAACCTCGACGTTGGCTACGATTTCCGAAAATGACCCAGCCGTTGATCCTCAAGGGCCCTCGTTCGATCTGAACAAGTGGCTGAAGATGGTTCTTCGGGAGTCCGAAAGACAAGGCAGAGAAGGTCACCGAACAGGCATCGTCTTCAAGAATTTCACGGTATCTGGAACCGGAGCAGCACTGCAGCTCCAGGACACAGTATCATCCATGCTATCCGCACCCCTTCGCATCGGCGAGATGATGAGAAATCGACGGTCGCCGCCGAAGCGGATTCTGAATGAGTTCAATGGCTTGTTGGAGAGCGGGGAATTGCTTCTCGTCTTGGGTCGTCCAGGATCCGGATGTAGTACCTTCCTCAAGTCTCTATGTGGAGAGCTCCACGGCCTGTCTTTGAGCAAAGAGAGCGTTATCCATTATGATGGTATAGTTTCCCCTATGCTTGCGGATCTTAGCGTATGCCGCTGACCAGGATGTGACAGGAATCCCTCAGCAACGAATGGTCAAGGAGTTCAAGGGTGAAGTGGTGTACAACCAAGAGGTAAGAACGTCCTGTGGGTTGGATGTTTAGTTAGAGGCTGACCCGAATTATCGTTGCAGGTGGACAAGCACTTTCCTCATTTAACCGTCGGCCAGACGCTCGAATTTGCCGCCCTGGCGAGAACGCCAGCTCAACGAATCCGTGACATGTCCCGCGAAGAGTTCGCTAAGCATATCACCCAGGTAGTCATGGCCATTTTTGGTTTGAGCCACACCTACAATACTAAGGTCGGAAATGACTTCGTCCGCGGAGTATCGGGTGGTGAACGGAAGCGTGTCAGTATCGCGGAGATGGCTTTAGCTCACTCCCCCCTAGCTGCATGGGATAACTCCACCCGAGGCTTGGATTCCGCAACGGCATTGAAGTTTGTGGAGGCACTACGCTTATTTGCCGACCTCACTGGGTCTGCACACGCAGTGGCGATCTACCAGGCTAGTCAGAGCATCTACGACACCTTTGACAAAGTAGTTGTCCTTTATGAGGGACGTCAGATCTACTATGGCCCTGCGAAGTCTGCTAAGTCTTACTTCGAACGACAAGGATGGGAATGCCCTCAGCGACAGACCACTGGAGACTTTTTGACTTCGGTGACCAACCCCAGTGAACGTAAAGCACGTCCGGGCATGGAAAACCAAGTTCCACGCACCGCCGATGACTTTGAAGCGTACTGGCGCAAATCCCCAGAATACCAGAAGCTCATGTCCCAGATTTCCAACTATGAGCAGGAACATCCGCTGGAGGAGGCTGGTGCCGCCCTTGCAACATTTCAGCAGAAGAAGCGCGAGATACAGGCGAAACATACTCGTCCGCAGTCGCCCTATTTGCTTAGTGTGCCCATGCAGATCAAGCTCAATACTAAGCGAGCATACCAACGTGTGTGGAACGATATCTCTTCTACTGTGTCAACTGTTATTAGTCAAATTATCATGGCTCTGATTATCGGATCTGTGTTCTACGGTACCCCGGATGCAACTGCAGGCTTCACTGCCAAAGGTGCCACCTTGTTCTTCGCGGTCTTACTCAACGCTCTTATTGCAATGTCGGAAATCAACAGTCTTTACTCGCAGCGTCCAATTGTGGAAAAACATAACTCATATGCCTTCTATCATCCAGCCACCGAGGCTATTGCTGGCGTGGTTAGCGATATACCGGTCAAGTTCGTCATAGCAGTCGTGTTCAACCTTATCCTCTACTTCATGGCGGGGCTTCACAGAACGGCAGGGCAATTCTTCCTCTACCTGCTGGTCACATTCATCGTGATGTTCGTGATGAGTGCAGTCTTCCGTACGATGGCGGCTATCACCCAAACAGTCTCACAAGCAATGGGGTTGGCAGGTATATTGATCTTGGCTCTGATTGTCTACACGGGATTTGTGCTTCCTGTTCCTTCGATGCATCCTTGGTTCGAATGGATTCATTATCTCAGTAAGTAAATGGAATTCCAAACATTCTATATACGTCACTAACCTCGAATTAGACCCTATCTTTTATGCATTCGAGATCCTAATTGCCAACGAATTTCACGGACATGACTTTATATGCTCGCAATTTATCCCGGCCTACCCTAGCTTGAGTGGTAACTCGTTTGTATGTTCGTCTCCTGGCTCTAAAGCTGGACAGCGTGCTATAAGCGGTGATGATTATATACAGGTGAACTACCAGTATAGCTTCTCGCACGTATGGCGCAACTTCGGCATCTTGATTGCCTTCCTTGTCGGGTTCATGGTGATTTACTTTATTGCCACTGAGTTGAATTCGTCTACCAGCAGCACTGCCGAAGTTTTGGTCTTCCGTCGTGGACATGAGCCAGCATATTTGCGCACCGATTCAAAGAAGCCCGATGCTGAGAACGCAGTGGAACTCAGTGCGATGAAACCAACTACGGAGTCGGGTGAAGGGGATCTGTCTATCATACCACCACAGAAGGACATCTTCACTTGGAGAGACGTTTGCTATGATATCGAGATCAAGGGTGAACCCCGACGGCTATTGGATCATGTTTCTGGATGGGTCAAGCCAGGCACGCTGACTGCTCTCATGGGTGTCAGTGGTGCAGGTAAAACCACTTTGCTGGATGTCTTGGCGCACCGAACTTCCATGGGTGTTATTACAGGTGACATGTTCGTGAATGGCCGGGACCTCGACCAAAGCTTCCAGAGAAGCACCGGCTATGTTCAGCAGCAGGATCTGCATCTTGAAACTGCTACTGTCCGCGAGTCGCTCCGATTCAGCGCTCTCCTTCGTCAACCCCCTAATGTTTCCATCCAGGAAAAGTATGACTATGTGGAGGACGTGATCCGCATGTTGAAGATGGAAGATTTCGCCGAAGCAGTCGTCGGTGTTCCCGGCCAAGGATTGAACGTTGAGCAACGCAAATTGTTGACCATCGGTGTTGAACTGGCTGCGAAGCCTAAGCTCTTGCTCTTCTTGGACGAACCCACTAGGTAAATATTCCACCTTCTGCAGGTATTATCTCTTTTACTAACCTGATTCCAGCGGTCTTGATTCCCAGAGTTCTTGGGCTATTTGCGCATTCCTCCGCAGGCTTGCCGACAGCGGGCAAGCGGTTCTCTGTACCATTCATCAGCCTAGCGCAATTCTTTTCCAGCAGTTCGATCAGCTCCTCTTCCTTGCACGTGGTGGAAAGACGGTCTACTTTGGTCCCATTGGAGAGAACTCTAATACCCTCCTTAACTACTTCGAATCAAACGGGGCACGTAAATGTGCCGATGACGAAACCCGGCCGAGTGGATGCTGGAGATTGTAAACGCTGGCAAGAACTCCCAGGGTGAGAACTGGTTTGATGTCTGGAAGCGAAGCAGCGAGTGTCAAGGCGTTCAGACCGAGATCGATCGGATCCACACGGAACAGCAGGCGAAGACGCAAGCCAGTACCGGAGACAGCGAAGCCGGGAGCACGTCAGAATTTGCCATGCCATTCTGGTTCCAGTTGTACCAGGTTACCTATCGTGTGTTCCAGCAGTACTGGCGTATGCCGGAATACATCGCGTCGAAATGGATGCTGGGAATCCTCTCCGGTCTCTTCATTGGTTTCTCATTCTTCCAGGCGAAGTCTTCCCTCCAGGGGATGCAGACCATCATCTACTCGTTGTTTATGCTGTGCTCCATTTTCTCTTCTCTGGTTCAACAGGTATGTCAAGTGTCAAGCGCTTCCCTCTTGTATATGCCAAAACTAACCCTTATAGGTCATGCCATTGTTCGTGACCCAGCGATCCCTGTATGAAGTCCGCGAAAGACCCAGCAAAACATACTCATGGAAAGCCTTCTTGATCGCCAACATCATCGTCGAGATCCCGTACCAAATCATGATGGGCATCTTAACATACGCCTGTTACTACTACGCAGTTGTCGGAGTCCAAGACTCCGAAAGACAGGGTCTCGTCCTCCTGTTATGTATTCAATTCTTCATCTATGCCAGCACTTTCGCCCACATGGCCATTGCCGCCATGCCCGACACCGAAACAGCTAGTGCTGTGGTGGTTCTTCTATTCGCCATGTCCCTCACGTTCTGCGGTGTCATGCAAACCCCAACCGCACTGCCCGGATTCTGGATCTTCATGTACCGCGTTTCCCCCTTCACCTACTGGGTCTCAGCCATGGCCTCCACCCAGCTCCACGATCGTGTCGTCCAGTGCTCCCCAGCGGAAATGTCTATCTTCGACCCTCCATCGGGCCAGACCTGTGGCGAATACATGTCTTCATTCATGAGCATGGCCGGCGGACAGTTGTCGAACCCCAACGCCACCTCGGACTGCAACTACTGCTCGGTCTCTGTGGCAGACGATTTCCTGTCAAGTGTCAACATCTATTGGAGTGAGCGCTGGCGCAACTTCGGCCTCATGTGGGTTTATATCGTGTTTAACATCTTCCTGGCGACTATGCTCTACTACACGTTCCGTGTTAAGAAGTGGAACCTCAGCGGCTTGAAGGAGCGCTTCTCTAAGAAGAAGTGAGCCAAAACATTACACTATACAACACATATTTTCTTTTCTTCTCAGTATATACCTCGCGGGCTCTTGCTTTGGCCTTGCTTATCGATTTCTGGTTGATACCCTGTCTCAAAGAGCATACTCTCAACCGTACTTTGCTTGAGATATTTCTTATTGTCGTGTGATACACTATCATAGAATTTTGCTTGCGCTGTCTGATTTAATTATTCGACCGTGTCTTTGCTGGATTGTTTCAATCCAATCTCTTCAGCCTTTGCTTTACAATTTTTTTTAATAATATTTAGCCTTGGCCCTGGAGGACAGCAGAAAAAAAAATACAAAATACAAAATTAAATACAAATAACCTCTAGGGCTATCTGGCATATCATAGAAATACAACTTCGATTCGTCCATCAACCCAGTTCTATAATATTGAGTGTACCAATACCTGGATGTTTAAGTTGTTCATCTGTCAGCCGTAAACAAGTGGTGACTATAACACACTCAGTGAAGCACAAACACAGCTTCCTTTACTACAGTATGACCGCAGCTATCTCAAAGCACAAAGGCTCTAGCACCTTCTATCCTGATCCAGGACAATCATCTCTTTGGATAAACGAACAATGAAGCCAAGATCTTTGGTTGAGGTCCTTTGTAGTGGACGACCTTATTTACGCAGCTATTTAGAAGTCTGACTCTTGACAATGAGCTTGATGCTAGTTATCTGGGAGACACCTGAACCTACTACGTAGCCTTCTCTCTGAGAAGCTGGAGAGAGTATCCCGATATACAGAGCTCGGGTGACGAGATTGACAAGATGTGGTTGAATCCCTGGGCAATGGGGATGCAATTTGAAGAGGAGCAGCCAGACGGAGACAGAACATCATGGCGCTCTTTTCTGTGTTTGAACTGCACACCATGTCCCTCCCTCTCGTCGAACAGAATGTCAGTCCTCCGCAGTAAGTCTTCTCCAACCTGGGCTCTTGTATTAGCTAGACATCCTCCTCTCCCCTACACTACCACATACAAACCTCTTCTCTCTTCTTCCCCAGTCAGTCGTCTCACTTTCCATACCTCTACAAACAAACCCACCACAAAAAGAAGAATGGACATCCACCCCTCCCACTGGCAAGCAACGCTCCTAGGCCACGCCTTCTGGCGCGACGCAGAAGCCTACAACAAACCCATCCACGACTCCATCGAAGCCGGTACTCCCAAACCCTCCCTCTCATGCCCAGAAAAAGCGATATACTAAACCTCTCGCAGAAGGGAAGAGACTCCTCCACAGACGCCAGGAGCAACCAAACACCCAACTCCAAACACTGACACTGACACAACCACCAACAACCCCCATGCCCGACCCAAGTGACACCGAAGCACATCGCCACCGCCGCTTCAGCATGAGCGACGCCCTCCACCTCCACCCCTTCCACAGCACGCACCTCAGTCGACGGCGCGCACGCTCATCCATGCGCTCCGACGCCTCAGACCACACTACTACATCCTCGCAGGAACCAAGACCACGCTCCAGCTCACGGTCCCGGTCTCTCCTCCGCCTCCCACTCACAATCCTCCGCGGACTGAGCAACACCGAAACGACCCGACCACCTCCCCAGCGACCATGCCACGCCCGCAAACCCCATCCTCGAGTTCCGCGGCGGCGACACCTGGGACCTCCTCCTCGCGAGGGATAGGAAGAGTCTAGGGCTGGACTTATTCTGGCCCATTGAGTTCCCCAACCCAACCCTAGACTGCGGCCATCCCACAAAAACAATCTCAACCGCGTCACGACCCCAAGAACCCAAGGGCAAAGACAAGGACGAACAAGGACCAGAAACCTTCCCCCTAGCATCGCTAACCCCGCTCCTGCACTTCCGCCACCTCCGCGCCCTCAAACTAACCGGCATGATGCGTTCCTACCAGAAATATATCTGGCAGGTAGCTTGGCTGAACCCGCACCTGGAAGAACTGGAGCTCGGCATGGCCCTCGCCCCAAGTCTGCGCCGGAGCTATGTGACGAGGTGGCCGTGTATCCGGGGTGGGTGGTCACTTCCTAAGGAGAGATTCGGTGGACCGGTTTATTAGTATGTTTGTTTTTTGTTTCTCTTTCATTCTTTCGTTGGTCTGTTTTCTTTTATCTTCGCCAATGCTTAGATACCATATATCTACCCTTAACTACCCCAGATGGATATACATTTGGATAATCTAAAAAAAACCAAATATTAACAAACCCACAGCGGAACAGGAACAGGAGCCCTCCACCCAGCCCTTGGAATAGGCGAATACCTCGACAAACTGGTCATCGAAAAAGCCAAAGTAGCAGGCATGGGTCTCGGGAGAACGCGCACGCGGCTATCGATCCGCACGCTGGCGCTGAGCGGGTTCGTGGTCGATGCGGATCCGTTTCTGCAGTGGTTTGACTGCGGGAAGCTGAAGTGTGTGCGGTTCGGGGATGGGTGTGTGGATGCTGGGTTTGGTTGGGAGATGATATGGGGGGTGTTACTGTGGTTTGGCCGGGGGAGAGTGGAGGCGAGGTTGGACAGGGGGTTGCTGGGCGGGTTGTGGAGAAGGGGGAGATTCGGGTGGTTAGGGTTCGTTGAGGGTCTCTTGGTTTTATTCTGTGTCTTGTTATGGTGTCGATGGTGTCGATGGTGAGGTTGTTTGACTTGGAAGCGGTGGTGGAGAGGTAGAGGTAGGTATCTGGAGTATGGAGGGTTAAACCGTTTTACTTAAATCTAGTGTGGATATCCAAAGTCGACTTGGATCTCAATCACAATAGTTTCTGGGAAAGCAAATATCAGAGGACCTGTTCATGTATTAAAATTATTATAGCCTATCCCATCACTTTCACACGCAGATCAACAACGCCGACTCAGTGTAAAGAGAGAACCAGACCCAGATTCTGTACAATAACCCGAAAGAACAGCGAATGTAACGAGCGTCAACGAATCCACTTTTCCGCCATTCGTCCAATCTCAGACCGTGCAACCTCAGTATGACGTCATCCCACTTTCTCCAACTGTACCTTTTTTGTAAGGTATTCACGAAACATGACCTTCTCGTCCAAACTCGAATCTGAATGTGCTTGTGTCAGATCATGTCGCATTGCTTTAGGCGCCCTCCTCTTCCGTGATGCGAATGGCACCCTCGTTACCGTGTCCATGGGCCCAGAAACCGTCAACCAAGAGGGTACTGCTTCATTAGCTTTGGTAAATACTACAATACTAGCATTAAGACTTACATTCCAGGTGCCGCATCATGCGCGAAGATCAGCCAGTAGCCGATAATACCCTGCAGGAAGATATCATGGATAGCGAAGATGATGGTCTCGGCGTCGATGTTGATTTTGAGAGCTAGGGCGCCGGCAGCGATGGCCCTAGATAGATTATCAGCATCCGTCATGTTTACCCTAAGAGGGAGGTAAGGAGAGAGAAACATACACAGGGAACAAAGCCTTGATCAGAAGCGACACGCCCGAAACTGTACCGAAGAATCTCTTCGTCTGGGCGTCCTTGTTCACCGCCGCGCGGCCCCCGTTCACACCAACATGATACACAGTCGTGAGGTAGGCGATAGCGCTGATCGTGAACCAAACCCATCTACGGGGAGTGTGGCCGGCATAGGTGCCTAGGATGCCGGTGCCGAGCATCACCCAGTCGGCGACGATGGCGACGAGGAGATGGGCGCCCGGGAGGCCAGACAGAAGGGCAAGGTTGATGAGGGCCAGGGGGTTTGTCAGGAACCAGTTGAGGTACCGCAGCCAGAGGACCTGACGGTAGACATCATGATGGGTGTTGGGGACGTGCTTGTTGTGGACTGTCAGGATGTCATGCTTGTAGGTTATGCCTTCACCGGTTGCGAGGGCGAGATAGACGATGAAGGAGATTGTGGTGGAGATGGCGATTAGGTTATGGATGACTCGCTTGGTCTGTTCTTGTTAGTTTGGTCTTAGGTATGCATCCTTGGCTGGGCTTACCAAGGGCGCTCGGGAGGCGAGGATGTAGAAGACGACAGATGATATGGCCATGAGCACTACGACAACCCTATGATACTATCATTAGGATCTAGCTGAGTAGAAACGGCTGGGGGTGTACCATAATGTCCGTTGGCTGGTCTTGGACAATTCCTGGAAAATGGCATTATGGCCCGGGAGGACGGTGGGCACGGGGGCCACCGACGTCGGAGTAGTCGTGGGCACGGGCAGCGGCTTCGTCTTGAGGGTATTGAAGAAGTCGATCATCTCGGCGGGTGGATCGATCATCTTGAAGTATATTCAAGGTTTAGTATCCGATAAGCTTAGTTAAGGTGGCAGCACCCGCAATGTTCGAACTGAAATCAAGATCGTGACGGGTCCAAGAGGGTAAGTGTCAGTCGAAATGAACGACGGACCAAAGGGTTATATAGAAGACGAAATATAAAAAAGAAAGAAAAGAAAATCCCTTACGAGAGACGTTCGTCATGCTGACCTCGATTCTGTCGTCATCGACCTGCGGCTTCCAAAGCAGCCAATCGCCGACTCGAATCGCACCGTCGGACAAAAGAATGCAACCGTTTGATTTGTTTGCCACGATTGCAATCCCGTCTTTTGCACGGTCAGCATGTCGGTCGATCTGGATCATGTTCCCGTGCCTTGGCAGATATGGAACTACACAGTGAGGGGTCCATGCAGCTCAGATTATTTATAGCGGAATGTGGTCTGATCCAGGTTCCCGGTCGTGATAAACTTGGTTTCTACGCATGCAATGCGGAATGGAGCTGAATTGAAATCAGGACCTCCTTCAGGTGATTTGATCGATCAACGTCGGTCCAATCCTCAATCTCGATATCCTCTATTTGAAACATTAATACTCTAGACGGGGTATCAGCCATTCCAAGTCTACCACGGACACCCTCTTCTTGGTCCTACTACCATTGCCACTTATCCAACCTAAAGAATCCGCCCCTTGACCTGCTGGATCTTCTTCACATTGACATCCTTCCACATCATCACCGATGTCAGCGTCACTGTATACAAACACGTCGCCGCAATCAACATCAACCGCTGTGTCTCCGAATACGACCGGTTAATGGCATCACGCGCCGCACTACCAACCGGATACGACGCTTGAACCGCGATATCGCCATAAATACTCATCAGGTTTGACTGCGCATCCGCGGGGAGATACTCGGCAAGTTTCTGGGGAAAGATACCCGTCCACAGCGCCGTGGCGAGGGTAGTGCCCACCGCACTGCCGATATTAATGAACATGCTTTCCATCGCCAACACGGCGGGAATGTGTTGCTGCGATGATACGGCTATGACCGTCATCTGTTCGCAGATCACCAGAGTGCCGCCGCCAAACGCGATGAAGATCTGGCACATGACGATGTACCCGATGTTGACGCCCGGTTCACGGAATTTGTTCATCAGTCCGACACCAAGAATGGTGATGGGGACCCCGAAGTAGAGCGCTTGCCATTTGAGACGGCCGTTGTAACGGATCAGGATGCCCATGAGTACGGCCCAGAAGCAGGAGCCGACGCTGTAGATATTGGTGATGTAGGTCGCTTGGCTGACGCTTTGGTTGAAGACCACAATCAGCATCGAGTAGAAGTATGTGTCCCAGAAATACCAGGCCAGGTAGATGCTGGCAGCCATGATGTAGGTGAAGAAGACAGTTCGGTTGAGCAACAGCGACCAGGGAATAAATGTGACAGGGACGATGTATCTCTCGTAGACAGGGAAGGCGATGAGCAGGAGGCTGCCGATGACAATGAAGCAGATGATCAGCGGAGATTTCCACTCGTCTGGTTGTTTTGTGTACAGATTAAAAGCTAACAGGAATAGGGCAAGTCCAGTAGTAAGGAGGAGCAGACCGATAACATCGAACTCCTTGCCGTAGTAGGCGATTGATTGCATTGCAGTGCGCTGGCTATGACGTTCGGGAATCAAACCGGCCTTCTGCGCTTTGCGCTGGTTATAGTAAAATAGGAAGAACAGAGGCGTTAACATCACCGGCGTCATAATGGCCCAGATGCCGAAGCCCCATCGCCATCCCATGGAATTCAAGATATCTTCTGCCGCCGGTCCGTATGCCCAAACCGTGGCAATGTATGGAGAACCAACAAAGCCGAGCCAGAATGCCCGGTTCTTCAGTGCCGACGTATCGGCAATGAAGATGGTCAAGGTGAAGTCCACACCCGCAGAGCCCACCGAGTAGAACACTTGAGCCGCACAATACGTCTGAACATTATTGCACCCAGCCATCATGATGAGTCCAACAGTCATGCAGGCGATCATCAAGCAAAGCCCTGGGGACGACCCCAGATATCAATCAGTTTAGCATAAGGAAGTTTGAACAAGCCGCCAATAAGAGTGGAAAGAATGGTGGTAGTGCCAGTTAACGAGTGTTACTTGAAAGAGCTGGTAACATATGGAGTCAGTGTGCTAATGATACCGAACGCGAAATTCTTAATAAAGTAGATAATCCAGATCCTAGTGGCCATACCATTGTCAACTTCGAGTGTCGGCGTAGCACACAATACACCTCTCGGTAACACTCACATCACGTAGGCCAGAATCAAATGTTGTTTGGACCAGACCTGAGTCATGGCCTGTGCGCTCTGTACACCATGCTGGAACTCCGGGTTGACCACATCACTCTTGCCATCATCCACTTGATCGGCACGGGAGGTGGCCGCTTCCTTGGCCGCAGACTGTGGCGCAACGTTGGCTTCATCGTCATCAGGGTGTCTTTCCTCGTCGAGCGGTACCTCATCCGGCTTAATGGATAGTCTGAACTTCATGATAGACTTCTCCCTGGAACCTGACAAAAAGCTGTCAGGCGGGGCAAAAAGAATGGAATATAACTCTGCGCCAGAATTCAGCCGACAAGGGGGGAATGATCTACTGCTAAATACTAGCAGGAAATCCCCCCGAGAGAAATGCCGCCCCAAGCCCATATAGCATGGCACCATGCTGTCGGGATTTTCCGTCCAACATAGTTTGACCAGAACGCTAAGCAGCAAATTCCCAATCTTAGTTCACGGTCTGGTCCTTAACATTGCTTGAGTACACACCACTCACAGTGGGCAATGGTATCGTGAAGCAGGGTTCTTGCCATAGGGTCTGCCAAGCAGGGCTTTAATTCGCAGGGTTGAAGGGCCGCATTCCCTCGCGGCCCTAGCCTGCGTTACACGCGTATAAATGGAGGGACTGGGGACTGGGGACGATTTTGGCTGGTTGGGCTAAATGACTGGGATCCATACAAGGGTGGGCCATGGGGACAAGAAGCACTTCTTATCTGATGATCTGATAAATTGAACCAACACCGGGAGCTCGCCAGTACGCCAATCAAAGAGCGCGCGGGCAGCTCTAGTTGTTGGTCAAAAACAAGACATGAACAGAAATTTCGTTCGTGTCCAACTTGAATGTATGAGACAATTCGCTCTGACTATTTTGTATTAGCCAATCCAAAAGAAACCATTCAAATTCTATCAGAAAAATTGGACACTATCAAGTGCTTCGTCAGAACAGGCGCAAGACACCGTAAGAGTTGTCGCGGGTGGTGAAATCTCTGCTCGCGCTAAACATGCCCTTAAATATCCTTCCATCAGAAGCCCAGGTATCATATCAAAGTAAGTACTTCCATGCCTACAAGAAATATTAATATATTAAAAAAGATTAAAATTCTTGATAAATAGATAAAACCACCGTATCAAAGAGCTACTTATCGTTATACAATAATCATACGGCCCTTGCTGAATAGGCTAACCCTTCAAGTACTTGCAATGTCAGATATATATAATCTGTTGTAGTTGCCTTCATGCATCCTAGTACTTGCAATACTCCATAACAAATGTCGTCACTGAGCCAATCAATTCATTGTATCATTACTACTCGGCCTCGATAGTCATTTATGCTTAAATAAACATTTTATAAAAGAGATGGCATCCCATGCAGTGAAGAAGGTCAGAATGTTCCCACTCGACCGTTGATCTAGACCAGCACTGACTCCACCGAGTAGAATTTAGATACATGATACGGATCAAGGGTCTACTTATCGGTCCCTGATCGAGAATTATTCAAATGCCGCGTTAAGTTATCTATTTGCGGAATAGAGCAATTACGGAATGAACTCCTTCCTGCTCATTTATGCAGGATATCATGACTGGCGAAAAGGAAGCTTTCATTCACTTCACGCTATTTCGTGTTATGTCATCCCTCCCGTAATTACATCCATGGCCGTGAGTAGCGTAGCAGAGCGTGAGATAAAAAGTTCATTCCAGCTTTTCCGATCCTACAGCCAAAAAAAAGTAGAAATCCCGTAGGAAATTGGTTCAAGAAAAAAAACGATCATGCAAATTTATTTCCCCGTCACGGCACTAATAATCTAGTACTTCTTGCCCTGGCGCAGGACATCACCGAACTCCTCAAGAGGGCTGCGGATGAGCTTAGTCTCCTTCCAGAGGTTAGGAGTAAGGAAGCCGTAGGTGTTGACGACAGCAAGGAAGGTGGCCTTGAGGGTGTTCTCGAGGGTCTTGGTGGAACCGGAAGAGGAGGTGTAGGCATCCTGGACACCGGCAAGCTGGAGCAGACGCTTAACGGCGGGGGAGGCAACAAGGCCGGTACCACGGGGAGCGGGGATAAGCTATCATAGGTTAGCATGCTACCTTCACTTCCGAAAATTGCGCATTTGGTGACATACTCTGACGGAGACGGAACCACACTTGGCGCTCTGCTTGACGGGCAGAGAGTGAGGCTCACCAAGGTTGCTGCCCCAGTAACCGCGACGGACGGGGAGGACGGCGAGCTTGGCAATGGTGATAGCAGCACGGATGGCGGTAGCGACTTCCTTGGAGGTCTTGATACCGAGACCGATGTGGCCCTCAGAGTCACCGATGATGACGACGGCCTTGAAACGGGTACGCTGACCGGCACGGGTCTGCTTCTGGACGGGCTTGATCTGTAAAGCGAAAAAATGAACCGTCAGCGGCTGCCACTTGCAATTTCCCTGATATCCATCCAAATCGCATCATCGTGTATCAAAATTCAATTCTGCTTCCTCCACCACAAAACATGCGCTTCCACACGAATTTCACTGGCCCAATTTTCCTTCGGACAAAAAGTTCGTTCCGTACCTTCATGACCTCATCCTTGAGCTTGGGGAGGAAGAAGTCCACAATCTGGTACTCCTTGATGGGCAGAGAGTGGAGGTAGATCTGCTCCATGCTGGTGATCTTGCCGGCCTTGACGAGACGACCGAGCTTGGTGACGGGCTGCCATTCCTTCTCCTCCTGCTTGCCGCCGCGACGACCACGACGACCACGGCCACGGCCACGGTCACCACCACGGTCACCGCGGGAACCGAATCCTCCACGTCCACGAGGAGCAGCGTCAGCCATGTTGGATATATATGGCGATTGAAAATGAACCGTACGGGGAGAGGTAACGGACGGGAGGGTGTCGTTGAGGGGTTGTCGACGTCGAGGTTGACTTTCGTCTCTCACTATCCACACACAACTGTTTGGCTCACGGAAATTTCGTGCGCTAACCGAGCCCACGGAAACCCTATACCCTAGGCGGTGAACCCATTTGGGCAACCCGATGACACCCGCATCATGTGACTTCGGCCTCCCCCATTGGGAGTTTTTTACTCCAATAGTCTGCGGGCGGTGGCGCTGATTGTCGCGATCCTGCTATTCTTATCGGCGGTCTGGGGGGTCATGTGTTTATTATCAAGCTATTAATTCTTTGTTGTCCTGTCCGGACCTTTCCTCAATCCCCATCCCCCATTCCGCTGTCAATATTTTTCTTCCTGTGAGAGCTATCGTCGCACTCAATTGAGCTTTACCTAGTCTAATTGACTCCGAATCCCCCTCGTTGGCAGCATGCTTCGTTGGTATATCTCCCCGTCCACATTCTGACCGGTTCCTGACGCTAAAACTTTATCTCTCAATCCAGGTATCAGGCAAAGTTGGCTAAGCAGCCCATTCTCACAGCCAGTGTGACCAGCGCTGTATGATCGTGTTCCCGATTTTCATGACTCGTCTTGGTTCTGACCTGTGACAGGTGCTCTTTGGTAGCGGTGATGTGCTCGCTCAGCAGGTAGTTGATCGCAAAGGGCTGGAGAAGCATGATTTTGCTAGAACCGGTCGCATGGCTCTGTACGGAGGAGGTAAGCCATTTCCCACTTCTTGGTAAGTGGCCTGGCTTACTGATCTTAATAGCTATCTTTGGTCCCGCTGCTACGACCTGGTACGGCTTTCTCCAACGCAATGTGGTCCTGAAGAACACCAAGGCCACCATCGTTGCCCGGGTTGCGGCAGATCAGTGCTTATTCACCCCTACCCATCTCACCTGCTTCTTAACCTCCATGGCCATCATGGAAGGTTCGGACCCTATCGAGAAGTGGCGTAACAGCTTCCTTCCCAGCTACAAGGCCAACTTGACCATCTGGCCTCTTGTTCAGGGTGTCAACTTCTCCATCGTGCCACTGGAATACCGTGTACTTGTTGTAAACCTAGTCAGCCTGGGTATGTTTTACTTATTTTCAGTGAAGGTTTTGTATGACACTAACATTACTACCTTTAGGCTGGAATTGTCTTCTAAGCATGATCAATAGCGGCGATAAATAAGCGAATCCCTTCCAATTGTTTGGAGACCTTATGTTTAGAGATACCCCTTTGATTGTATAGCTGATACGCCGAAGACTCTTATTTTTCCTTTGAATTGTTCCGGGGTCATAGAGGTCTTTCTTCACTTTTCATTATCTCTTCGGACTTGCTTCCTGTGTTTCAAAATTTGGGGCGCAACATCGAGAACATTTCGGATAAACAGTAGACATGCTGGATTAGAGCGGATTGTATAGTGACTGTTGTTGCTATTCCTGCGGGTACATAGATTTATAATTAGAAACCACTTTTCTTGTTCCTGTCAGATTTAATTGTCTTCAATCCGCATTGACTTATTGATCAAATCGATAATTAGGGCTGGGGTTTGGGGGAGAGCCGCATCAGCCTATAAGAGGCCTAGAAAGGTACAGTGGCCCAAACGGGTAAAGTTGCACTGTCGTCAAGCTGCCGCATCTCCAAACGCTTCAAAACTTCATATCGCTCCTTCCACAGGTTCACCTACGCCCCTTTTAGAAGACGATAGCAACCGTGGTTCTGCCCGGAGCAGACGATTAAATTCCTAAGATCGCCGCGCACCCGCCGCTTTGATACTGCCCCAGTTTATCCGGGTTGCTCTTTCCTGTCGGCTTTTCCCACCTTAAAACACAAAATTTGCCTTCGCCCACCGAGACTTTTCCCTCACCCCTCCGACGACGCTCTCCGGCATACTGATCACCGCAACGTCACTCGTATAATTTTCGCTTCGCTTTATTTTCTCTCTAATCTCGATTATTTCACATCCACCATGGCCGCTGTTGCTGAAAACGGTTCCGTACCGGTGAACGACGAGAACACCGCGCCCGGCGTTGCCGCCCCCGAGCAGAAGGAGGAGACCGAGAAGACAAATGGCGACAACATCACAGTGTTCCATGACCCTGAGAACTTCAACGTCAAGCACCCTCTTATGCACGAGTGGACCCTGTGGTTCACCAAGCCTCCTAGCGGCAAGGTACGCAGTCTGACCCGCCAGTGGCCTGAAGACCACCAACACTAACGGTTTTGCTCGACTCGCAGGGCGATAACTGGAACGACCTTTTGAAGGAAGTTGTCACATTCAACTCGGTTGAGGAATTCTGGGGAATTTACGTATGTTCCATCCCTGCCATCTTTCAATCTAGTGGTGGCTGACCTCATGTTGCTATCACCAGAACAACATCACACCGACCTCTGAGTTGGGCCTCAAAGCAGACTATCACCTTTTCAAGAAAGGTATCCGGCCTGAGTGGGAAGATCCACAGAACAAGCACGGCGGCAAGTGGTCGTATTCGTTCAAAGACAAGCGTTCCGTACCGATCGATGATCTGTGGCTGCACGCCCAACTGGCAGCCATTGGCGAGACTCTCGAGAATGACGGCGATAGCGAGGTTATGGGAGTTGTTGTGAATGTGCGTAAGGGTTTCTACCGTGTCGGTTTGTGGACACGGACCGTGGGCAAGAGCATTCCGGGAGACAAGAACGCCCGTACACCTGCTCAGGGCAAGGACGTTCTCGAGTCCATCGGCCGCCGGTTCAAGGAAGTCCTGCGTCTGAATGAGGCGGACGTTGTGGAGTTCTCCGGACACACAGACAGTGCACACAGCGGTAGCACGAGGGCGAAGGCCAAGTACACTGTTTGAAGTGTTGACGACCTCGGGTGCTTCTCATTTACGATCTATCCCAGATGAATGCCGCTTCTCTTGTTACGAGACGATAGAAGAATCTATGATCATGGCCAATAACGACGGGCTATCATGAAGGAAAGGATACTGGCTGGGGCCCCGCTCTCGCTTAGGAGTCTACAGTGATGATTGATCGTAGACGTCGACGGCATGTATCTGCTCCGTACGTATGACGAGGTTTATACCATCTGCTATTCGACTACTGTCTTCTTGATTTTCTTATGGCTGGACGAGGGGAAACTCTGATAGGAAAATAGAAAAAAAGTGTTTCATACTGCTTCTTCATGCTCTATGCCTGTTCTCCTGATTATGCGTTTGTGTTCCTTAGTTCGTCTTGATATGAGTCTTCTCTATAGATACCGTGCATTAGCAATGGAAAATACCTTTTGACTTCAAGCTCGCTCTCTGTTTACCTGGCCTCGTGTCACTCGGCAGATTTGCTTTCCGGGATGTGCCGTCCTTGCGTAGTGCGCTGAATGGAATATTCCGAAACGGGCAACCAGCATACTATTCACTTGTTGCCCTCAGGCTCGTCCACGACAAATCGCGTCAACAGACCGTCATGATTGTGAATGAAGGTGGCTGCCTGCTCGCCTACCATCCCCCTTCTGTTTCTTCATTCCTCCTTTCTTTCTCTCTTCTTCTTCCTTCCTCAACCTCCCCAACTCAGCCTCAACACCACATCCCCCATCTTCTTCCCTTCTCCTCCCACAGCCTAAACAGTATCGACCGGATCATTACAACTGACTGGATTACCGATCAACGACACATCCGTCCACTCTACTCAGTGCGCTGAACTGGAAGTGCGAGGGTCAGCTGTCTGGTTGGGTGTCAGGCCCGACTTCGTGTAGGATTTGGACGTTGCTGTGTGGCTGTCCCTACTTCTTCGCCTTCTCCTCCCTTTCTCTGCCCTCTTCAGATTTGCGTTGTATGAATTCTCCCTGGCACTTCAGGCAGTTGGGATTCTGCGCGTACAATCTGTAAGTAACACCCTTCCCTTCCCAGCGTTGTTCTCACTGACCGTGTTTCTAGGCCCCTTTCCTCGCTCTCTACACTCCCCAGCACAACCATTTCCTCTCCTCTCCTCTGCACCCTAGAGGGCTTCCGTTGGTATGGATTCCTCCAGGCTGCAGACTGTTGGAATTCTGCTGGCGAAAGAAGCTGTAGGTGACACCTCTATTCATTTGTGTTCGCCTTTCTGACTGTGTTTATTAGCCGCCACGCCCTTTCCTCGCTCTCTACGCTCCATTACACCTACACCTCCCTCATTTCTGCATAGTGTAACTTTGCATTGTACGAATTCGCTCCGGAGCCGCTGGCCGTTGGGATTCTGCGATGTACAAGCTGTAAGTAACACTCCTCTTCCCCAAGTCTACCCTCACTGACCACGCTTTATAGACCCCCTTCCTCGCTCTTTCCTCACCCCTGACTAATATTTAGCTTTCCCGGGTCCCGGTGGTTGGGTGGTTGGGCGGGCCTGGGATAATGTTTGCTCACATCGGCCTCCAGGCCTAGGTTGGGTGGTTGGGCGGGCCTGGAGTACTAACCTCACAGCACTAACTTCTAGCTCTCCGGGGCCCCGTGGTTGGGTGGTTGGGTCGGGCCTGGGATATCCGTGTTCTAATCAAGATGTTGTGAGTAAAATGGCCTCCTCGTCCTTCTCTATTTCCAGCTTATGCTAATAAAAGAGGATTAGCTTGAGGTTCATCTTCTTCTGCGACGTCTTTGCCTTGGTGGGCAGGTTGGGTCGGGCTTGGGACATCATGGTTTTGAAGAGAATCTGGTCAGTGAGATTCCGTTGTACCATCTACTGCTTTTCACTGTTACTGACGATAGCCTTTGATGTCCTTCCATCGCCTAGGTCGTCTTCAGTTCGCTGGTTACTTGTGGAGGGTTTGAGATGATAGAAAATACCTGTGTCTTTATATCTTGCCTAGTTGATGTTGGTTGAGTTGGATGGCGAAGTGGGTGCAAGACAATGTAATTATATCATTACAAATCTCGATACCTTCAATCGGCTCTTTCCTGTAAACTTTGGCTGCAAATTAGCAGTTTAACAGTATACCGAAGATACGCTAGCATATAAGTCTCTCAAACATCTGAGCAGTAAGCTGCCGCCGACGAATGAGAGGCGACTGCTTCTACAGGACTATTAAAGTTCCAGCGCACAGTATACTAGACGGCATCCACAACTGTCCCAGTGGTATCTCAACCATGGTCGCTTGAACTGATCTATCTAGGTAACCACACACTAACCATGGTACAAAGGATATAAATTCGCTCGAACTCTGGGATACTGTATTATATCTGTTTATCTAGCATGGGAAAAGCGCTTGTAAGAATTGATCTACAATAATATTGATATCTCCATAAGTTCCGACCCTCAAGTATTTCGTATGGATTAACGCCACGCAGCGCCGTTAATAGAACCGCGGCGACGAGATCCATAACACACCTCAAGAGTCGCTAAGCACTGGAAAGATTTATGTAGATTTCCTTCATATTAGACTTAAGGTAGGATAGCGAACACTACAAAGAAAGTATGAGCAACACCATGTCGTATCCCTTAAGTGTTTTTTTGCATGTATATCTCAACACTCGGGCACACACCCTTCAACATATCGTTATTTTCTGTCATTATCGAAGATTTCTTTACCAATACAACGTTCCTGGCCGGCGAATATAGAACGAGAGGGAGCTCCGTGCGGCAACTAATTTCAACACTAAATGAGTCGACTACATTCTCACTCAATAGAATCTCCTCAGGCAGAACTTAAAAATCCAGCTTTGAAGAGAAGACGGCGCTTCACTATGCTGCCGAGGGAGGGCATTTTGGTATCATGAAGCTGCTGATTTTAGAGGGTCTTTGAGTGTGAACGCTTCGGGGCTTCATCATCACTCCCTCTACATTATGCAGCGAGGAGTCGAAATCCGAACACCGACTCTGTGGTGGAATATCTTAATTGAGAAAGAAGTCGACATGGACTCAGCCACTTGGGCAAGAGAGTTGCCATTCTGGTACACAGTGGATATGAAAAATGGTCGGAGTCTTTTGTCGTAGCTGAGAGTTGGGTCGACCGTGCACCAGCAAAACGAACACTGTGAAAAGCTCTTGCATAGAGCCATGTAGGTCTGTGACCTAAAGAACTGTGGTAAAGACTCTTGTAGATGAAGGATGTAGATATCCGTGCAAGAAGGAATACGGGTACTTCGGTTTTGCATCGCACAGCTGAAGCAGGAAAGGTCGCTATTGCAAAGTGGATATTGAGTAATGGTCGCCTTAGTATTGATGATGCGAAGAGTTACGGCTGGACCCCGTTGTTATTCGCTGCATTGAAGAGTTGGGTTCTTATGGCGAGGCTTTTTGGTTGAGAACGATGTGAGGGTATCGGCTTCTACTTTGTCAAGAAACTTCAGTGCTTTATACCTTGCAGTAGTATATCACAAGGAAGATGATGAGTTCGATGGGAATAGAAGAACTACATCTGATCCTTCCCTTATTGAGGATTTGTTTCAACAAGAAGACAACATCATAGCATCGGCAGAAGACAGCCATGAACCGAGTCTATGATGAAGACGAAAAGATGTTAGAATAAATATATGCGAAGACTGATCAAGAATTTTGTGGCTGGTTCAATGCATCCTTGAGATTGTTCAGTTGCCTGCGATAGTTGATATTGTAATCGTGAGTACGCTATACGAGGGACCGATACTCCATGGGACTACCCTGCTGGGGCATCCTATATAGCTAGAGACCCCTTAGGGATACACTACGGGCTGAGCCCTACAAACGCTCAATGCTGATGTATATAAAGCACGTAATAGCCCCCAGACCTTTCAGAAGGTCGGCAACTCTTTACCTCTCATAGCATACCGCTACTCGCAATCTCAATATTATACTAACATAATATCTCTGTAGAAATTCGTACCTCTTCGCTAGTAATAATATCATAATACTAGTATTATATAAAATTCAGTAAATAATAGCGCCAGGCTTACTAAGTGATTCATTGTAAACGAAATGTAAATGGGAGCTGATGTTATGGTGAGAATTTGAAAGTTTGATCCATGTGGAAGTTGATGTTTTGAGAGTCTCGTGATGTCACTGTACCAAACAAAGTCTTGTAGTGTTCTATGCACGTCGCTGTCACAACTCTCTCCCAACCTATTGAGGTGTCATTAGGCCAACCAGATCTGACGCTTGGACTTTGGCAAACCACCGCCTAAGATGATGGTCAATAATACGAAGAGTCTAATGCGGGTTCATTGACTCGAAAAAAGGAGGGATGTGCAAGGTGGAGATGCTAGATCCCTCGTGTCCCTGCATACTCAGCAGTTTCGAGAGCTGGTTGGGTGGACATTCAGCTAGCCTACGAACTGTGGGGCGTCGATCGAACCCTCAGCTCAATAATGATCGACACTATCACGCCTGGATAGGGGCAGAGAACGCGAGTTTTGACGCGAGCCAGCAAGAGGTCCATTAGCTCACGAAGGCGAAACTGAAACCTTATAAGGACAGACCCATCTCACCCAGACTATGCTTTTGTATAATCTTCAAAAATCCCATGTCATTTCGCGTTGGCCATGTCCTGCCCCGAGCATAGAAAGCGTGCCGAGCGTGTCATCGTCCTATGTTTCGATGGCACATCCAATACCTTCCAGGCAGATGGCACCGAAAGTAATATCCTAAAGATTTTCCGCATGCTCAAGCGAGACGATGATAACTTATGAATGACTCTTCCCCCCCCCTGTGCAGAGGTACAGGCGTACTAACATGGAGTGCAGACTGCTACTATCAGCGTACCACACCCCATTCTGTCGCCCGCGTAAAATCTGTACTAAACCAAGAATAGCTGGCGTTGGAACGGAGATCTCCCCGACCTCTCTCAGCAGCAACCCTTTGCGACGCCGCAGTAAGCTCTTCAGCAGCAAACTTGTTGACTCGGCCTTGGCTGTCTCCTTCGACCAACATGTCCTTGGGGGGTATAGATTCCTCATGCGACATTACCGCGCCGGATCCCAGATCTATATTTTCGGGTTTTCCCGAGGAGCATACACGGCTCGCTTTTTGAACGAGATGCTGGACCACGCTGGGCTGCTGTCCGCCGATAACGAAGAGATGATTCCCTTCATCTGGGAGGCATTTTCGTCCTACAAATTGACGGTCGGAGCTACAAACTCACTCGAAAGGAAGGAAACTGAGAAAGCATTGAACTTCCTGAAGGCCTGCAGAGAAACAGTTTGTCGCGAAGTAGACCGGGTTCACTTCCTAGGTTTATTCGATACTGTCAACAGCACAGCCGAATTCCAGGTCAACGCGGAGGTGAAGCCGAATTCTGAAATAATCAGACATGCATTGAGTATCGACGAACGCAGGGTCAAGTTCTACCCGGTCCTGATAGAGCCCAAAAAGGAGTACCAATTCAAGCCCCATCGGCGCCTATGGCCATGGGGTCATAGAGGCTCAAGAACTTGTGGCGGAGACAGCGATTCAGGTAAGCAAGATATTCAGGAAGTGTGGTTCCCCGGTTGCCATGCAGACGTTGGTGGAGGTTGGGACTTCGCTAAAGACGAAGATTGGAGACTGTCGCATGGGCCACTTGTTTGGATGGTGTATGAGGCTCAGCAGGCCGGGCTTCATTTCGATAAAGAAAAGCTCGATAAGCTCATGAACAGCGAGAGGCAAGGGAAAGCTGGTTCCGTGACTGGAGATAGCGAAAAACTAGCTCGGGACAGTCCAGGGGATCTTGTCAAGTCCCTTCACCTTTCGAGCACAAAAGGCGTACTGCATGATAATCTTCAACCGGGCGAGGGCATTTCAAGCAAATCAACTCGCTTTTGGTTTATAATGGAGCATATACCGTTTCGGCGCATGGTGCTACAGCTCGATGGCTCGTGGAAAGCCACTCGGTGGCCACTACATCGGGGAAGGAGCAGAGACGTTCCGAAATATGCGCAGATCCACGTTTCTGCCATTGAACGGATGAAAGCTGACACAGCCTACCGACCAATGAATATTATTCTGGAGGGGCCAGCAGATAGGAAGGGTAAAGTCTGTGCCCAATTTGAGATCGAGGAGTGGAAAGTCTGGTGTCATAAAGGCGATCGTGTGCGAGAGGCGTATGTTCGGGGAAAGCCTAGTGTATAAGTATTTTGGAAGAGGCATTTCTTTTGGGATATTGGTTTGCATAAAAGTGACATTGCTCGGCTATGAAGGAACGGCCAAGGATACAGATAATGAGAGAAGCTAATTGAAACCATGGTCAGCCATGTCCTTTGCACCTCTTGTCAATGTTCTCTCGATACATATTTCCGGCAGTATCAGAGCACCATTTCCTTTTTTTGGATTCCTTGAAGGTTAGATCAGGTAGTACTGGCTTAATTTCATGGCAAAATGACCACATTGGGTGTGAACAGTTACACTGGAAAAGCATAAGTCGTGCGTAGTGTTTGTACGAGGAATTTTGTGCTGTGGTTCGCTTTCCCAGGCTCAACTTGGTTCCCAATGTCTGCACTAACTTTCGATCATAGCCTAAGGCATCCGCCTGTCACTCCGATCTCGCGATGTCAAGAACCCTGCTGTGAGTCACAGCCTCAATCGGAATACGGACTGGGACTGTCGTGTTCGGTATTGACTCGGCATTGTCGGAGAACACCTTATTCTAAGCGATCCACGCACCTTATCACTACAACCATGTCGTCCTAACTATGTTCTGAGTCAACCCAAATAACTTCAAGTTCCTAACCAGAATTATAAGATCCCAATATACACTTCTCATTTGCCAAAGGCATCATATCCCAACAACCAAATCACATGACCAGAATCCGCCATCAATCAATCTAGATTAGATTGGAGCTGATCCACTCACAGACCCTCAAATCAACACCGAAAACCTCACAGCCAAAATGACCGACTCCAACACCCCCCTGATCTTCGTGACAGGGAACAAAAACAAAGTCCTAGAAGCAAAAGCCATCCTGGGCCCTACTGCCACGCTCGAAGTCCTGGATATCAATCTCCCCGAGATCCAGGGTAGTGTGGAAGAAATTACGCGTGAGAAATGTCGCGCGGCGGCTGAGACTGTAAGATAATGGACCACTGCTTTACTGAATGCTTGGATTGCTCGGCTCGTCTGTGAAGGGCCCCAGTGGGTATATTAAATGATAGTGTTAATTGGCGTCGGGGGAATGTTAGATAGGAGGGCCGGTGTTGGTCGAGGATTCGGCGCTTGAAATGCGCGCGTTGGGTGGGCTGCCTGGGGCTTATGTGTATGTATTTTCCCTTTAATTCTCTATCTTTGCTCGTCTTTGTGATTTTGCTTGTAGATATTTCGTTTTTTGTATGCATGTGTCTGGAAAGAGAGAGCTAGGAACTAATCAAACCATGTATATGTTAAAGCAAAGCATTTGTCGAAACAATAGGCAACGAAGGCCTCAACAGAATCCTCTCAGCCTTCGACGATAAAACCGCCGAAGCAGTATGTACGTTCGGGTATTCACCGGGACCAGGACATGAGCCTCTTTTGTTCCAGGGTCGGTTGCAGGTACGTCACTCCTACTCAACAATGTATGTAATTGCTAGGAGTCTGCATCTAATTTCGATTGGTTAAGGGTCGGATTGTTCCAGCTAGGGGCGTTTCCTCTTTTGGTAAGGGTTCCTTCTCAATTGAGCTACTTTGTTGGTGTTAACTCTGTTGTGAGTAGGTTGGGAACCGATTTTTGAGGTCGAGGGGGAGGGAGTAACGTTGGCTGAGATGGAGGTTGGGAAGAAGGTAGGTTTTCCGGGTTTGATGGTATTCATAATACAGTGTAAGGAAGGGTGCTGACTGGGTAGAATGGACTTTCGCATCGGTTTAAGGCGTTGGTGAAGTTTAGGGAGTGGTTTTCAGGCGCTAGGGGACCTGTTTAAGGGCGTTTGGGTGGCATAGATCGTTGTGTTTTTAGAATTGATACAGAATTCATTGAGTAGAGTCACCTAGATATGTTGATTGGTAGATGTTTTAGTATATGGATTGGTCGCGCGTCAATGTGGCTTCCTGGAGACCAGGGGCATGTTCTGTGCAATCTTAGTATGCTATTGTAGAAGTCTTATTCGGCCGATATATATCTCCTGGTTGGTAAACAAGACTACTCCAACACACTTGAAAACAAATTTGGGGATTCATGATTGACCTAACCTAATAAGAGAGTGCTACTCCTAAGCCGATATAGGCCCGCAAGTTTGACCATAGATTGAGATTAAATGATGCAATTTCAATTGACTCGCAGTCATTTCGTTATCTCCCAAGTATGAGAACAACCGGACGTGTAGCAGAACTCCGGGACGGCATTTACTAAACCTAATTGATCTACTGGTCAACGAGACTCGGGACTGCTTTCCTACCCCGATCCGGGGAGTGGTGGACCCAGGATGACTCAATGAAGTTAATAAAGGCGATCTATAACTGGACAGTTTTGACATCGGCGTCGAAGACCAGTAAGCTTGATCAAGTCGTGTCGCTTCAAGAGAGTACTTTGCTAACCTCATGGGTAAATATCGGAATGGGAATGCCATTTAAGGTACAATTATTCCGTTAAGTCCACGAAGTATATGCAGGTCTCTCAGGCCTAGAATACACCAGTGCCGACAATCCAATCAAGCCAATGTAGCTATAGTCTGCTAGGAATATTTGACCCAGGAGGGTCCTCCAATTGTACAACCTGGCGGAGTATAGTCGCAGTTATTCCGAAGCTATAAACCGCTATGGGACCAGTCGTAATGGACACGAGACTTATGATCAACGCCAGCAACCTTCGACGTCAACCGCATGGTCGAAACTGAGTTCACGTCAACGTCTCGATAGGCTACTGAACTCGTCATTCAACGCCAAGTTTCTCCCGCCCAGTCATTATCTCCAGCCAAGAAAGTCAAGAACGCCCAGATAGGGCTAACGGCATCACAAGCTGGCCATTGCGTCGCTCAATTCCCCATGAGGGGAAGCGAGCTCTTGGTACAACCTAAAGGCAGGAAAAGATAAAAAGGAGGATCACCCCCCAATCCAGGAATTACAATTCCAGCGTTGCGACCGATCGCGTCAGACTCTATCAAACGAGACACGGGAATATTCCGGCAGTAGGAGATCGCCGCTCTCTCCAGTCGACGGAGCCATGATGGCTATAGGGATGCATGGGAACGGATACACCATCAGCCGGCGACGAGCCTGGACAGAGCAACAAGGTCCCTGAATGGTTGTTGAGCAGGTACGGCCACTAAACTCCAAGATGTTAGCCTCGGTGACGAATTGGGTGGGAGTGAGTTGGAGAAACGGGAGAGCGAAGTCGGAAGCCGCGGCCTGGGCGATAAGGCGTCAAGGCTCGAGTACTTAATCCCATCGGCCGCTATCCTCCGATCTAGCTTGGAGGCCGACTTGTCTCTGCTGACCTTTTTTCAATTTATTTCTCCCCTCATTTTCTTTTATTATCTTTCTTAAGGGAGAGAGAGATATTATTGATATTAATAATTGGTGTTTTAATGGTGCTCTGACTGGTTTTCATACACAGATATGCTTTCCACTACTAACCACCGTCCATTTGTCTTTGACCCCCAGACGATGCCAAACCAACACCAAGCGAAATGAACTCGCCCTGGCGGTTTGACTCGGCCGGACTCCCGATGGACTCCGCTTCTCGTCCTTCCAATGTCGTGACCACCACCCCAGATGCCTACCACTACTAGTCGACGGGCTAGCTACCCCGGTCAGGATAAGGAAACGGAATGCGGCCTTAACCCCGACTAAGAATCAGGATATTACTCAACGATAGCTGGATGATTGGTCAAGTGCCATGCACGACCTGCATGGCTGATGGGTCGATCGATCATTTCTCCCTCCGCCTTTCTGGGGTAGCATCGCATTGCCACGGAGTACCACTGCGACATGAGCAATAAACTTCCATGAACTGGGGGAAATTATTTACCGCAAAGTATCTCAGCGTCCATGTGTCGCATTGACAATGGCTATCACTTCCCATCTGGGTACTTCGACGACCTTCAAATGGGTCCACCACCGGGCATCACGCGGGGTGAACCGCCGACAATGGGACAATTTGAAGCCGCTGATAAGTCCGAACACCTGGTTTGTCGTACTTACGAATGAGATGTGCCGTGCTTATCTGCCAATCTGAACGGCAAATCGACTCTTCTGAACTCCCCAGGATGGGTTTATATTACCTAACATAATTTCCGAATTCGGGTATACCGGTGGCGTTCGACAATTGTTAATTGAAGGCGCTTCATCAAACTAGCCTAGGGCGCGTGCCGCAACCGAGGGAGGAGCTGATCAAAGACATTCTCTTGACCGAAAAATGGCGACATTATTCGCCCCCATTGTGGGTGCTGATAAGGGGAAAAAAAAGCATTTTGTGTGCGATCACCAAAGGGGGCAAAAAGACAAAATTTAAAAATTCTTCCGCTGAATCGAGAACATGACACGCCCAATGCGAACGGATTTTTTTTATTTACCTTTTACTTTTTTTTTTTTTTTTACTATTGCCATCTTTGAAAAGGAATTTTTCGACTGGGCGGCTAACTCCGACTGGTCAGTGAGCTTGTGCCGGGCTTCGAGAATCCGCTGCAGAGCCAATCACAAGAGTTTCCGGTGTTCTCGACGGATGCTTAACCGTTCTTGTCATCTCTTGTCATATCTCAGCATCTCTTGTTTGGGGTTACATCCGAGGGCACGCTAACCCTTCCCCATCGTGCTCTCCATTGGTTTCTCGCCGTAATTTTGCCGGCGATGGAGCCTCCCAGCTTTTCGTTGATCGCATGGGTCGCTTCGAATGATAAGACGGTCCCGCATCGGATCCCAGACCAGGCCTCCCAAGTTCCCACCAGGAACAGGAATATAAGGTGGCTCTCATTTCCTTCCTGAGTTCTTGACCTCGTGCGCAACCGTTGAGACGAATTTCTGACCCGCAAAACTATCCCCTCTTGTTTCTGGGGATATTTTCGCCTGGCCCCCTTCAATATGTCTTCAGATCGTGAGGTTGAGTTGTCTCAGTAAGTGTCTTCTTCTATTGCTTTATATCTTCTTGCACTCTTCTCTGTTCTCCACTGCTCGTCCGAATCCTTCGTTCACGTCTAACCTCTATGCAGACAACAGGCCCAATACGATGGCACGCATGTAATCGATGAAAAGGACGGCCTTGAGGCGAACGAGAAGGCTCTAGGACCTACCCCGGATGGCGAAGAGCCCACCCAGGATGAAATCAAGGGCCTGCGCCATATTGCGGAGAACCTGCCCGTCTCCGCCTGGCTGGTCGCTATTGTCGAACTTTGCGAACGTTTCACATACTACGGTATGAGCGGTTTGTTCCAGAACTACGCGAACCTTCCTTTGGATGGTAGCCAAGGACGTGGTGCTCTGGGCCTCGGTCATCAGGGTGCCACTGGTCTTACCACCTTCAACCAGTTCTGGTGCTACGTCACTCCCATTGTTGGTGCTATTGTTGCCGATCAGTACCTTGGAAAGTATAAGACTATCGTTGTCTTCTCCATTATCTACATGATTGGTTTGCTCATCCTGGTTTGCACTTCGATTCCCTCGTCTCTTGAACATGGTGCTGGTTTGGGAGGCTTCGTCGTCGCTATCTTGATCGTTGGTCTGGGAACTGGTGGTATCAAGAGTAACGTGGCCCCTCTGGTATGTAATCACCGACGACACCTGGATGCCATCTCTTGCTAATATGAATGTAGATTGCCGACCAATACAAGCGGAAGAAGATGGCTATCAAGACCATCGCCAAGACTGGCGAGCGGGTGATCATTGATCCTGCCTTGACTATTCAACGTATCTACATGATCTTCTACGGTTGCATCAACATTGGCTCTCTCTCATTGCTGGCTACTCCTTACATGGAGAGAGATATCGGCTACTGGTCCGGTTATCTGCTTTGTCTGTGCATGTTCGCTTGCGGTTCCTGCGTGCTCATCATTGGACGCAAGTACTACGTTGTCCGCCCTCCCCAGGGTTCTATCATCACCAACGCCTTCAAGGCGCTGTGGATTATGGTCATCAACCGTAATATGGACGCGCCCAAGCCAACCTGGCAGGCCGAGCACGGTGGCCGCAACCCAAGAACCAACTTGCCTTGGGATGACCACTTCATCGACGAACTTAAGCGTGCCCTGGTTGCTTGCAAAGTCTTCGCCTTCTACCCCATCTACTGGGTCGTCTACGGTCAGTTCTCGGGTAACTTTGTCACCCAGGCCGATCAGATGGAAGGGCACGGCGTTCCCAACGACTTGATGCAGAACTTCGACCCTATCTCCATTATCGTCTTCATTCCGGTTCTGGAACTTACGGTCTACCCCTTGCTCCGTCGTTTTCGCATCCAGTTCCGCCCTATTACCCGTATCGCCTTGGGCTTCATTGTCGCCTCGTTGGCTATGATGTACGCCGCCATTGTTCAGCATCTCATTTACTCTGCCGGACCCTGTTACGAACACCCTGGCTGTGATGCCTCCATCGTCAACGGACAGACGACTGGCAATCACGTGCACATTGCCATCCAGACTCCTGCCTACGTGTTCATCGGTCTCTCCGAGATTTTCGCGTCGGTGTCGGGTCTCGAGTACGCTTACACCAAGGCGCCCCCGACTATGAAGTCCTTCGTGCAGTCCATGTATCTCCTCACCAACGCCTTTGGTGCCGCCATTGCCGAGGCTCTTACTCCTGCTGCTTACGATCCCGCCATCCTGTGGATGTTCGTCGGTCTGGCCGTTGCTTCATTCCTTGCTGGTATCATTTTCTTCCTCGTGTACCGCCATCTGAACTACACCGAAGACGAGATGAACGCCCTCGACGCCGATGATGACGTTGTAGCTGCGGCTCAGCAAGCGGAGAGCGAGAAGAAGAAGGAGGAGAACTTATA